CAGTCTCCATGGGACCATTTTGTAATGACACCCTGTGCAACTCACTGATCTTCAACTCCCACCACCATGGCACATTCTCCATGTCATTTCAAAAACAAGTTCTAGGCTATTGTTGTCTTCTAGAAAGTCAACGCTACTTTCAAGCCTGACTTGAGTTGCAGGCTGGGCATGGAACTGTGGCAGGCATGACCATAAGTAGAAACTTGTTAACCCTCACAGCTATGAGATTCCTGATTCATGGGGGCTCAGGCTGGCCACTTGCCTTTCAAACAAGCTCCTGGATGACGGTGACACTGTGGCTCCAGGGAGCCACAGTGTTTTAACTCCACTTGGGGTTGAAGATTTCCTGACACTACACTAGACAGGGCCACTGCTCTATACTCAGAGGCCACCAATAAGAACAGAAGCTATTAGAGCAAGTTAGCCACAGGGCATCAGTTACAAACTAAGTGGAGCTTTGCTAAGAGGCCCACAAACAGGGGTCCCAAAGCAGTGGCTCCTAACTCACCTTCTGCCAACAGCTGACAAATGCATCCTGAAACTGTCTCCCCTCTTTGCCCTCACCCTGGCAGAGCCCCGTTCTTATTTACTAAGTAACACCAAGAGCAAATCAGAAATGACCATATGCCTGCCTAATATTACACACAACTTGGGTAACCCCTCCCCTGGCGCTTCCCCTCCTTCCCCTCCCAGGCTTGGTATGGCTAGTTGTGATTCATGTGGCAGAAAGAGTTTTTTTTTTGGGTCCGGTCGTGGGGCCTGAACTCTGGGCCTGGGCACTGTCCCTCAGCTCTTCAGCTCAAGGCTAGTGCTCTACCACTTGGGCCACAGCGCCACTTCCGGGTTTTTTCTTTTTGCTTATGTGGTGCTGAGGAATCGAACCCAGGGCCTCAGGCATGCAAGGCAAGCGCTCTACCACTGAGCCACCTTCCCAGCCCCAGAAAGAGCTCTTAGAAGATTCATCTGTCACCTAGCAAGGCTGAGGGGGGCCAGACAAGGTGCTCAGTCCTGACCCCAGGAGCCTGGGAAGGTACAAGAGATGCTGGAAGTGGAGTCGCTGATAAGAGACAAAGGCCTTCAGGAAGAAGTTCTGAAACATCACCAAGGCTTTCCATTAACTCTGACATCCTGGACTCTTTTATGAAGAACATCTTGAATAAGTGATCATTTCCTTCAGTAGGCAGGAACAGCAGCAGCTTATAGCTGAAACAACTAAGTGCTGGACTCAGTACTGCAAATCCTTTCCACACAGTACTTGCATGCAACTCCCACAACCCCTTTTCCAAGAAGCCAACTTGTTAGGGAAAGTTGGAGCCACGAGATGACCCACAGAGATTGACTGGGGGTCCCTTTCACTAAGTACTCACAAAGATGAGCAGCTCAGACACACACTGGGAGGGTAGAGGGACCCCATCTGTGAGCACCCCCAATAGCAGGCTGCTGCTGCCCTTCTGTTCTGGGTTTTTCCTTTCCCAGAGATCCTTGAGATTGACTTGGCAGAATGGCTTGGGGAAAGGATGTGGAGGCTGATTCATCATATGACCTTGCTTATACAGCTGATAACCTTTCTGCTCCATGATTTGAGTTTCCACAGTAGTTGAAAACAACAATGGCGAAGGAATGGGAGGGGGAGGGCATTTGAGTGCACACGACTCTGAAAGCTTGTGGCTTTCTCTCTGTTACATCACCCTACTTTCCCTACCTCCTCCTCATGGCTCTTACTCTGAACGCATCTTACTGGTTTACTGTCTCTTCTACCAGAATTTTGGTTCTTCGGTGGCACTGTTTGGCTTGTTGGTGTTCCCAAAGCCTGGCAGAGGGCACAGGTCCACAACACTGTGGAAGAAAACTTGTCCTCTCCCCCATCCCTCCAGCCTCTGGCCCATTTCCAGCCGTTAATCTCGACTTCAATCACTGTGATCCACTAGAATGTAAGCTCCAAAGACAGCCATTTTTGTATCCACAGCGTCTACAACTGTGGCCGATATAAGGGAAGAAGGAAAGAGATACTTGTTTAACGCGAGAACGAATCTTCCAACTAGGCTCTCCAGCTGCTGCCCAAGAGACTGCCGCAAAAAAACTTTTACGGCTGGTCCCTCCCAGATTTCAATCAACAGGACATGCCTAACTAAGCTCACTGGGTTCCTGTAAGGGGAAGAATTAGTGTGGGGAGGACCGGGAGCCCCACACCAGCCTTTCGAGGATCAGGTGTGTCGTTAAAAGATTAGAGGCACGAGGGCGCTGGGCGACCCCCTCGGCCCATCCCTGCTGCCCGCACAGAAGGCCGGGGCGGGGGCTCTCGTTACCTCCACGATCTTGATAAAGCGCGGGAACACCGGGTTGCGGGTGATGGCGATGAGCGGTAAGTGCGGGAACACGTCCGGGATCGTCATGGGCGTGAGTGCCGTTATGACCGGCCCTTCCCCGCCGCCCGAGCTGCCCCCCGGGCTCCCAGACCCCTCCTCTGCGCCACCTTCCGAGGCGTCCTCGCCGCCCGAGAAAGACCCGTGGCCGCGGTTGCTCCCCTCCCACAGCGCTCGCCACTGGCCCGCGGCCGCCGGGCCTCGGCCCCAAAGCGCCCAAGGAGGCGAGGCGTCGCAGGCCTGCCGGCCTCTGGGCAACCAAGCTCCGGACGCGGCCGGGGCCCGCCTCCCGGTGGCGGCCAGCAGCGGCCGCCGCAGGGCCCAGCACCGCGCAGCACCCCACAGCCGCACGTAACCTGTGCTCGCCGCCATGGCCCAGCCATACTGGCGGCGCACCGGGCTTGCGTCATTTCCGCTCCCTGGGCTGTTGCGCACGTGACGCCAGGCGCGTGGCCCTAGACCGAACTGTCCACGGGGCGGGGCCTGGAGGGGGCGTGGCCCTGAGGGGGCGGGACCTGGAGAGGCGTGGCCTCTGGGGGCGGGGCTTCTGTGGCGCCGGTGGGCAGGGCTTCCACTTCCCTCTTATCCCCCCCCCCCTCTCCCCCCCCCCCAGGTCTTGGGGTTTGAACTCTGGGCCTGGGTGCTGTCCCTCAGCTCTTCAGCTCCAGGCTAGCACTCCACCACTTGAACTACAGCACCACTTCTGGTTTTCTGGTGGTTCATTAGAGATAAGAGTCTCCTGGACTTTCCTGCCTCATTCTGGCTTTGAACTGTGATCCTCAGATCTCAGGCTCCTGAGTAGCTAGGATTACAGGTGTGAGCCACCAACGCCCAGCTTCAGCTTCCTTTTAATTTGTAGGTACTGGGATTTGAACTCAAGGTCTCTGTCTTACTAAGCATGTACTCTGGAACTTACCAACCTTTTGCTTCCCACCTAGGGTGCTTCAGGCTTCTTCTGGCTACCTAGAAGATTGTGGATATTCACCAGCGCCCCAGAGAGTGAAACTGGTGTAACAATGGACACTAAATGAATAAAAAACAAAATTTTAAAACAAATGAATCGGGCTGGGAAGGTGGCTCAGTGGTAGAGCGCTTGCCTTGCATGCATGAGGCCCTGGCTTCAATTCCTCAGCACCACATAAGCAGAAAAAGCCAGAAGTGGCGCGGTGGCTCAAGTGGTAGAGAGCTAACCTTTAGCTAAAGAGCTGAGGGACAGCCTCTAGGCCCAGAGTTCGGGCCCCACAACTGACAAAAAATTTTTAAAAAATAAATAAAATAAATGAATGAATGAATGACAGGAAAGTAAAAAGGAAGACTGTAAATGAAAATGAATGATCTGTGTTTATTTGCATGTCTGAAAACAGAACAATGAAAACTCTTGAGCTTTAAGAAGCACAAATAGGCCAGGTGACAGTGGTTTGTGCCTGTAATCCAAGGTAATCAGAAGGTCTGAGATCTGAGGAGTGTGGTTTAAAACCAGACTGAGAAGATTAATCTGATAGACTCTTTAACCACCAAAAGGCCAGAAGTGGAGATGTAGCTCAAGTGGTAACCAGCCTTGAGCACAAAGAGCAAAGCGAGAATGTGAAGTCCAGAAAACAAAAGAAGGGGTGACATTGTCAAAAAAGAAAGAAAGAAAGAAATGTACTCATTACTTGGCTTATGAAGTGGTAACCCCTCTGTACAACTTCATAACAGCAATACAATTTTTGGGGGGGGGGCTCCGGTCATGGGGCCTGAACTCTGGGCCTGGACTCTGTCCCTCAGCTCTTCAGCTCAAGGCTAGCGCTCTACCACTTGAGCCACAGCTCCACTTCAGGCTTTTTTCTTTTTGCTTATGTGGTGCTGAGGAATTGAACCCAGGGCCTCATGCATGCAAGGCAAGCACTCTACCACTGAGCCACCTTCCCAGCCATATAATTTTTTTATTGTGAAAATACTGTACAGAGGGGTTACAATTACATGGGCAAGATAATGAGTATATTTCTTATCAAGCATTGTAGCCTCCTCCTTTGTTTCCCCTTCCCATCCCTTCCCATCCTCCCCCCCGCCCCCCCAGCAATACAATTTTTTTAATGTGAAGTCCTGAGTTCAAGCCTCTCCCCCCCCTCTCCTACACAAAAGCAGGATTAAAACGGAGGATGATCGGTATGTATTGTAAAAATAAACGTGTGGCCTACTATCAGATGTGCTGCACCCAGCCCTGTGTCAATGCTAGCCTTCTATCTCTGCTTTACTCATAAATTTGGTGTCTACCTCCACAAATAAAACTAAATAAACGTGTGGAAATGTCACAGAGAAACTCCTTTTGTACACCTAATGAATCCTTCAAGTGCAACCTTCGAGCATTTGACAACAGAGTCAGACACACGCTTCAGGCATGTGGGTGGCAGAACCTGCGCATGCGCGCTCAGCCGCTAGGGCGAGGTGACGGTGGAGTTGGGCTTTCCAGGGAGGTGTGCGCATGTCTAGAGTTCAAGCAGTGTGCCACGTTCTGCCTGGTGCGCATGCCAGGCAGAGAGGCTCGTTGGTGCGCATGCTCGGACTCGAGCCTGCGCATGCTCGGACTCTGTGCAGTGTTCCTGCCGCCCCCCCCCCCCCCCACGCGGCGGTTGAGGAGAAGTGTTGGCGGGAGAGATGTTGCTGTGGCCGCTGATGGTGATGGTGGCGGCGGCAGCCGTGATGAGACCGTGGCCGCTGGCCAGAGCTCAGACTCTGTGCCGGTGGGGCGGACTTCCCGGGAATGGGGTGCTGCTGGGATTCACTGAGGGTTGACTGAGCCCCGCCTCCCCTCCTGGTCCAGGCCTGTCACTCACCGTCAGCCCCTCCCTGCTCGGCCCCCAGGCCGCCTCCCCCCCCTTAGTCCCTCACTGGGTCCCCCCCCCACCTCCCCCCCTTAGTCCCTCACTGGGTCACCCCCCCCCCCGGCCGCCTTCCCCCCCTTAGTCCCTCACTGGGTCACCCCCCCCCCCGGCCGCCTCCCCCCCTTAGTCCCTCACTGGGTCACCCCCCCACCTCCCCCCCCTTAGTCCCTCACTGGGTCACCCCCCCACCTCCCCCCCCTTAGTCCCTCACTGGGTCCCCCCCCCACCTCCCCCCCTTAGTCCCTCACTGGGTCACCCCCCCCCCGGCCGCCTTCCCCCCCTTAGTCCCTCACTGGGTCACCCCCCCCCCGGCCGCCTCCCCCCCTTAGTCCCTCACTGGGTCACCCCCCCACCTCCCCCCCTTAGTCCCTCACTGGGTCACCCCCCCACCTCCCCCCCCTTAGTCCCTCACTGGGTCACCCCCCCCACCTCCTCCCCTTAGGCCCTCACTGGGTCACCCCCCTCCCAGGCTGCCTCCCCTCCCCTTAGTCTCTCACTGGGTCACCCCCCCACCTCCCCCCCTTAGTCCCTCACTGGGTCACCCCCCAGGCCGCCTCCCCCCCTTAGTCCCTCACTGGGTCACCCCCCCCACCTCCCCCCCTTAGTCCCTCACTGGGTCACCCCCCCCCCCCCCCCCCGCCGCCTTCCCCCCCTTAGTCCCTCACTGGGTCACCCCCCCCCCCCCGGCCGCCTTCCCCCCCTTAGTCCCTCACTGGGTCACCCCCCCCCGGCCGCCTTTCCCCCCTTAGTCCCTCACTGGGTCACCCCCCCCCCCCGGCCGCCTCCCCCCCTTAGTCCCTCACTGGGTCACCCCCCCACCTCCCCCCCCTTAGTCCCTCACTGGGTCACCCCCCCACCTCCCCCCCTTAGGCCCTCACTGGGTCACCCCCCTCCCAGGCTGCCTCCCCTCCCCTTAGTCTCTCACTGGGTCACCCCCCCACCTCCCCCCCTTAGTCCCTCACTGGGTCACCCCCCAGGCCGCCTCCCCCCCTTAGTCCCTCACTGGGTCACCCCCCCCACCTCCCCCCCTTAGTCCCTCACTGGGTCACCCCCCTCCCAGGCTGCCTCCCCCCCCTTAGTCCCTCACTGGGTCACCCCCTCCCTACCTCCCCTTAGTCCCTCACTGGGTCACCCCCTCCCTGCCCCCCCCAGGTCGTCTCCCTGTCCCCCACCTCAGGCTTTGCCCTGTTGTCCTGTGACCAGTGGGCCAGGATGAAAGGGGTACACACACACAACACAGGTACACACACACACACACGCACACACATCCACAGACAGCTACACACGCAGGCCCACGACAAGCTGTCTCCTTGTCCCTCCCTCCAGCACCCGCACAGTGAGGACAGGAAAAGTGTTTAATGTTTCCAAGCAAGCCCAAAGGGTATGTGGCTCCCCACCCCACGCTTCCTGCACCCCATCTAATCGAATTCCTGCACCGGAATTTTCTTTTTCTTTCCTTTTTTTTAACCTTTTTACCTTTTTTGTTGTGTGTGGGGGGGGGGTGTTTGTGGTGCTGTGGGGGTGAACCCCCCCCCCCAGGTCTCACGTCTACTAGGCACCCATGCAGCACTGAGCTACAGCAGTAGGTCTAATATTTTTTGAGTGCCAGTTTTTGTATTGGGGATTTAGGAATACCCCCTTTGTCCAGTCCTTAGAGTTAAGGGTTTTTGTTGTTGTGTTGTTGTTTTGTTGTTTTTGTTGTGGTGTTGAGGATTTAATTCAGGGTCTTGCAATTTCATAAGTAGGCACTGTACCACTTCAGCCACTCTAGGGCTATCATTGTTTATATTTCAATTAATTAGTGAGTGTGTGTGTGTGTGTGTGTGTGTGTGTGTGTGTGTCTGTATTGGTTCTGGGGCTTGAATTCAGGGCTTGGATGTTGTCCTTGAGCTTTTTGCTCAAGGTTAGCACTCTACCACTTGAGCCACAGCTCCACTTCTGGCTTTTTGGTGGTTAATTGGAGATAAGAGTCTCACAGACTTTACTGTCTAGGCTGGCTTTGAACGGCAATCCTCAGATCTTGGCCTCCTGAGTAGTTTGAGTGGCTTAGACACCAGCACTCAGCTTATTATTATTATTTTTCTTTTCTAAATAGTGTCCCACAGTTTTATCCTAAGGGCCAGCCTTGGATTCTCTCCTTTTTTTTTTTTCCCATAGGGGTAGTATTTTTTTGTGTGTGTGTGAAAATATTGTACAGAGGGGTTACAATTACATGGGCAAGATAATTGGATTCTCTTATCTAAGCCTTCCCCTCATAGCTGTAATTACTGGAGAGAGCCAGCTTAGCCTTCAAGATCCTCCTGCCTCTCCCTCCTAGAATTACGGGCTTGTGTCACCATGCCTGGATACTTTGTGGTTTTGTTTTGTGTGTGTGTGTGTGTGTGTGTGTGTGTGTGCTCACTGATATTGGGGCTTGAACTCAGGGCTCAGGCACTGTCCCTTAGTTTTTTTCCTCAAGACCAGTGTTCTACCACTTGAGCTACAGAGCTACAGCTCTGCTTCTGGCCTTTAGCTGGTTCATTGGAGATGAGTCTCATGGATTTTCCTTCCCAGGTTGGCTTTGAACTGGAAGCCTCAGATCTCAGCCTCCTGAGTAGGTAGAATTACAGATGTGAGCCACCAGTACTAGTAGCACAAACCAAACCGGAGGAGGGAGGGGGAAGCTTTTTATTTGGCTATAGACCCATAGCCCACTGTAAAGACAATCTAAACAGGTTCCAGGAAAACTTCCCAAGCTTCCCCCCTCCCCTCCCCCTCCAGCTATCTGATATAACACTGCATCAAAACTGGGAAAGGGGCTGGGAAGGTGGCTCAGTGGTACAGCGCTTGCCTTGCATGCCTGAGGCCCTGGGTTCGATTCCTTAGCACCACATAAGCAAAAAGAAAAAAACCAGAAGTGGTGCTATGGCTCAAGTGGTAGAGCGCTAGCCTTGAGCTGAAGAGTTGAGGGACAGCGCCCAGGCCCAGAGTTCAGGCCCCACGACTGGACCCAAAAAAAAAAAAAAAACTGGGAAAGGAGGCCAGGTAGGGGGCCCATACACCTACAGTCACACAACTACTTGGAGGCTAAGGCAGAAGGAGGACTTGAATTTGAAGTCAGCCTGGGTACCATAGTGAGACTCCTGGCCAAAAACACACAAGAGGAAAAAAAGTTATGAGTGCAAGCTGCCTTTCTGATTGAGACTTTGCCCTTCCTATTTCTAATGGTACACAGTAGGAAATGGTTTTAGCTGCTATTTGTCACTGGTGATTTTATTAAGACCTTGTGATTCTCTTTGTAGGAATCTCTGCGTTTCTCTTCTACGACTGTCTTGCTTAGACATCCTTGTGAGAGAAATATAGCTGTGTATCTAGGGTAAGTGACCACTTTTCTTGCCCAGGCAGGCAGGAAAGTCCAGAAGACTCTTATTTCTAATTAAGCACCAAAAAGCCTGAAGTGAAGCTGTGGTTCAAATGGAAGATTTCCAGCTTTGAGCAAAAAAAAAACCAGGCCATGTATAGAACAAAGAAACCTGTTGATACTGGGTCGTTGTTGTTATTTTGCCAGTCCTGGGGCTTGAACTCAGGGTCTGGGCATTGTCCATGAGCTTCTTTTTCTCAAGGCTAGCACTCTACCACTTGATCCACAGCGCCACTTCAGGCTTTTTTCGTTTATGTCGTACTGAAGAATCTAACCCAGGACTTCATGCATGCTAGGCAAGCACTCTACCACTAAGCCTCATTCCCAGCTCTGATACTGTTTTAAGAAGGGAAAGCAGGATGAGCAAGAAATGGAAGGGTGAGGTTGATGGGGACGTTGTATGCATGTGTGGAAATGTCACAGTGAAACTCTTCTTATACAACTAATATATGCTAATAAAAAATAAGCCAACCAGCAGGCTATAAAGATTAATGTAGTCAAAACAATAATATCAAATCAGGAGCTTTGTTGGAATGGCATATTGGTCCTAATTGAACTCTTGTCTTGTTTATTTCAGGCAACAGATTTTTTTCACCAGAGATAACTTTGAGAGTAGCCTCCTCCCATTCACCATGCCTGAGTGGACAATGGTAGTTACCTTATGAAGCTGGCCCCGGGGCCGCTCACAATAAGTAGTACTGGGGGAATATATCTCACACTAGTGCGCTTTGTTAGCTGAAGGCTTATTGAACAATATACCCCTTACAGCCACTTGTAAGGCCAAAGAAGATTGGCTCATTCTGCCCTCACTGCCAACCAACTCCTTTGAGTGAAAGGGTGAAGGATGGTGGGTTAGTAAATATTCTTCCTCACATGGCTGAGTTGCAGGACACAGGCTGAGCTCTGTGCTGAGAGAAGTATGGCTTTGTTAGCAGATTAATGTACCCATATTATTATTCCTTCTCCTCTTCCTCCTTGTACTAGGATTTTTTTTTGGTGGGGGGCGGTTGTGGGGCCTGAACTCTGGGCCTGGGTGCTGTTCCTGAGCTCTTCAGCTCATAGCTAGCACTTTTACCACTTGAGCCACAGCACACTTCTGGCTTTTTCTGCTTATGTGGTGCTGAGGAATGGAACCCAGGGCCTCATGCATGCAAGGCAAGCACTCTACCACTGAGCCACCTTTCCAGCCCTGTACTAGGATTTGAACTCATGTCCTTGTGTTTGGTAGGCAGGTGCTCTACCACTTGAGACACACCTCCATCTCTTTTTGCTTTTTTCTTTTTCAAATAAAGCCTTCTGTTTTTGCCCAAGTAAGCCTGGATCATTTGCCCTTCCTATATAGCTGGAATGGCAGGAGCATGGCACTCTACTCAGCTTTTCCTTATGATTATGATTATGATTATGATTTTGCTGGTACAGAGGCTTGAACTCCAGGCTTAATGCTCTCCCTCAGCTTGCTCACAGCTGGCGCTCTACCACTTGAGCCACACCTCCATTCTGGCATCAGTTTCTCTAGACTGAGATGGATTGACTCTTTGACTCTCTTTTTGCCCATACTGGCCTTGAACTTTATCCCCTGAGTAGCTAAGGTTACCACACATGAGCTATGTCTCTCAACTTTTTCCTTTTTTTTTTTTTGTTTTATGTGGTGCTGAGGAATCAAATCCAGGGCCTCATGCATACAAGGCAAGCGCTTTACCACTGAGCCACCTTCCAGCCCCCCTTTGTTCGTTCGTTCATTCTTTCTTTCTTTTTTCTTTCTTTCTTTTCTTTTTCTTTTTTTTTGCCAGTCTTGGGACTCTCAGGACCTGAGCACTGTCCCTGAGCTTCTTTTGCTCAAGGCTAGCACTCTACCACTTGAGCCACAGCGCCACTTCTGGCTTTTTCTGTGTATGTAGTACTGAGGAATCGAACCCAGAGCTTCATGCATGCTAGGCAAGCACTCTACCACTAAGCCACATTCCCAGCCCCCTTTTCCTTATTTCTTTGAGCCAGGGTCTCAGTCAGTAGGCCAGACTGGCAGGCCGGCCTCACACCTGGGCTGCCATGTACCTGTCAAGGCACTCAGTCCTCACGTTTACTTCAGCCTGCATCCTCACGCTAGGGAGTGAGCAGAGGTGCCCAAGGGAAGCAAGGTCCGACTTCATCTCCCAAGTGTGCATGTGTCCGGCCCAGGGTACATGGTCTCCCATAGCTGCAGTCGCAGCTGCGGTGGGCAGAGCTGTTCCTGACATGCGTGGCGACAGGTGTCGGGGGCACTGCTGTGACTCTTGTGGTCTATGTCATCATTTGTAGATAACTGCACCAGAAGTCACCTCGGCGCACTTTTCAGGAGGAGCCTTGCTACTGGTGGTGAGTGGAAAGGTCTTCGTGTACAACTACAGAGATAACCTCTGGTTTCAATCTCAAGGTAGGTGTATTTTTCCCCCTGGATTTGCTGTGTGTTTCCCCAATGTGGGAGAAGAGCTTCATTCATCTTTTCATGCCCCTTCCAAGACCCAGCCTCCTGACCATCACCTTCTTTGTCAGGAGAATTGTCTGGCAGCCCCACGGTGCAGGGTAGACATATAGCACCTAGCATTGGAACTGGTAGTCTCCACTCCAAATTACAAAGGCCTGGGCTGGTGGCTCACGCCTGTCATTCCTAGCTCCTCAGGAGGCTGAGATGTGAGGATTGAGATTCAAAGCCAGCCCAGGCAGGAAAGTTCCTGAGACTCTTACCTCCAGTGAACTACCAAAATGCCAGAAGTGGAAGTGTGGCTTAAGTGGTAGAACGCCTTCAAGTTCTGGTTTGCAGTTCTGCCGGGATGGCAGTGGTCCAGCAGGTTTCCTTGTACTTACTATCCAGTTCTTGGCAGCAGAGGCCTCATTTCCTCTTTTGGCAGAGCTGGGGATGAGCCTAGGGCCTCACACAGACAGGCCAGGAGAGCACTAGCCACCGAGGGCCACTGAGTCCAGGCTTCTGTATGCTTGCTAGGAGCAGGGGACCTTTTCCTCAATCTTGACAGGGCCCTGGAAGTTTTCTCCAAACTTAGTAGGTGTCAGATGGGGACATGGGCCGCAGAGGCTGCTGGGAAATCCAGACCTTCAGTGAGCTGCCCAGTCAGTGTTCCAGGGAATTGAGGAGACTGCGGTATCTACAGGGATCTTGACTGGTCTTTTCTTTTCAGGTATAAACCACCCTGTTTCACATGTCAGTGGTGATAATTGCTGCTTTGCTAAAAATGCCTTGTGTGTGGTAAGTCCAGCTGGAATCTTCCCCTCCCTCCTGCACTCTGAATGCAGATGAGCAGGAATGGACAGAGAATGGTATAAAGGGCCTTGGGCCATGACCTTTTCCCAGGAATGGGGGGGGGGGGGGGCAGTCAGAGAGGCAGGAAGGCTCTACAGGTGCTTGAGATGAACTGCTTGGCAGTCTGAATTTGTCCTCCTTTTTTTTTTTTTAATTGGAACAATGGTTGTGGTTATGGTTCTGGGATTTGTGTGTGTGTGTGTCAGTTATGGGGCTTGAACTCTGGGCCTGGGAGCTGTCCCTCAGCTCTTCAGCTCAAGGCTAGTGCCCTACCACTTGAGCGACAGCGCCACCCAGGCTGGCTTTGAACCGCCATCCTGAGATCTCAGCTTCCTGAATAGCTAGGATTACAGGCGTAAGCCTGGAATTTTTTTAATTAAAAAAAAATTTTTTTTTGTTGTCATGGGGCTTGAACTGTGGGCCTGGGCGCTGTCCCTGTGCTCTTCAACTCAAGGCAAGTGTTGTACTGCTTGAGCCACAGCATCACTTCACGGTTTTGAGTAGTTTATTGGAGATAAGAGTCTCACGGACTTTCCTGCCCGGCCTGGTTTTGAACCGAGATCCTCAGATGTCAGCCTCTTGAGTAGCTAGGATGACAGTTGTGAGCCATCGGCACCCACTTATCTTTCTTTTCTTTTTCTTTCTTTCTTTTTCTGTCGTGGGGCTTGAACTCTGGGCCTGGGCACTGACCCTGAGCTCTTCAGCTCAAGGAGATTGCTGTGCCACTAGAGCCCCAAGGCCACTTCTGGTTTTCTGGTGGTTAATTGGAGATGAGTCTCACAGAGTTTCCTGCCCAGGCTGGTTTTTGAACCACGATCCTTAGATCTCAGTTAGAATGGCAGGCATGAGCCACCAGCACTAGACTCCATCTTGCTTTGTGAACATCTCACCTTGACAGCACTGTAGATGCTGCAGAAAGTTGCAAAAAACATAACAGAGTCCCTTGGTCCTCCCTTGGTGTCTCCCATGGCCATACCTTACATGCCCAAGCTAGCGACGAGACCAGGAAATGGCATGCATGCATGTTATATGACACACTTCTAGTCCTGTGTCATTTTGTCCCATTGTCATCAACATACACTCACTCCTCTGCAGGACACTGGCCCAGTCCCCCAGTGGACACTTACACCAAACTCTCTAGATACAGTCCTAGTTTATTTGGGGGGTGGATATAAGGGAGAGAACCTGGAGCCCTGTAGACATTAGGCAAGTTTCCTGCCACTGAGCAGCACCCTTCATCTTTGTTGTTTTGTTCTGTTTTTTGAGAGACATGATTATACTATGCAGCCCAGGCTGGCCTTGACCCCTCGATCTTCCTGCCTTAGTCTCCCTAGTTGGATCACAGGTGTGTACCACCATGCCCAAATTGTACTATGTTTTAAAACATACATATATAGCTGGGAATGTGACTTAGTGGTAGAGTGCTTGCCTATCATGCACGGAGCCCTGGGTTCAATTCCTCAGTACCACATACACAGAAAAGCCAGAAGTGGCAATGTGGCTCAAGTGGTAGAGTGCTAGCTACACACACACACACACACACACACACACACACACACACACACACACACACACACATACACACACACACACTTGTGATAAAGCTTTATTTGTACATTAGGCACAGGAAGACTCTTCAACACCAACTAAACATAAAGTAGCACTGTAGCTCAGGTGGTAGAGCACTAGCCTTGAGCCTTGAGCTGAGGGACAGTGCTCAGACCGAGAGTTCAAGCTCCACGACTGACAAAAAAACAAAAAAGAACACTTACAGTCTTCATAGTAAAAGTTGTAGATATGTTCTCTGTCTCTTGGTCTCTTGATCTCTTTGTCCATCTCTCTCTATCCAGCTTTCTGTCTCTGTCTGTCTCTCTGTCCTATCAACTGTCCTCTCCCCACTTAGTGGACAAATTGCCAGCATTGACTCAGTTTATTGGATAAAATCAGAGTTACTTGCAATGAGCACTGTGGTAGTGCCGCAGCCGATCTGCTTGCAACAGCTGCTCAGGGTCCACCGTGCGGGCAGGTGGCACTGTGTGGGGGACGCTGGACTTGCAGGGGCCTCACCCTGGCGGGTGGAGTGGGAGGCCAGGAGGTTTCTGTGCACTGCCCAGAATGGCATGCAACGTAAAATTTAGGAATTGTTTACTTCTAGAATTTTGCATCTCATATTTTGGGACTTGGATTGATAGGGAAGTCACTGAAGCCACCAGAAGTGACACCAGAGCCACTCTACCCGAGTCTCCACCAAGCTGCCCCTCAGTTCCCTCCTGGCCTCACTTACCTCGGTGGCGGACATAACTAGGGGATTTGCTTAGCCCAGCAAACGTCCCTAAGGATGAAATCAATTTGTTGGGTGTCCATGGTTGGTTCTTTTTGTCTGCTAAGTAATATTCCATGATAGAGGTATACCTCTATTTAAAAAAAAATATTTCAGCAAGAATTTATTTTGGTGTAACCAGGTTTAAAATAGGGTGAAATAGAAAAGAGACACACTTCCTGCCCCCCAGGCGAGAAATGGGAGTTAAAGACTCCTCACGTGCCCACACTTGCACTACGAGAAACGTAGATCTGCTGGGCATGGCGGTGAACAAAACACTAGTCTGGGTTACTCAGAGGGTCAAGGCTTGACCCTCTTGAGCCCAGCAGGGTTGGAGTACTCAACATGGATCAGGTGTCTGCGGTAAGCCTGGTGACCCCTGGAAGCAGAGCACCACCAGGAACTTGAGGAGAGGGGGTAAGCTGGACCCAGGGAGAAACACAGCAGAGGTCCAACTCTGATGTGGCTGGAGGTGCAGCTCAGTGGTGTAGAGCATGTGCTTAGTGCGTGCCCAGTCCTGGGTTCCAACCCAGAAACAAGAAAGGACACAGCTGGTGTGGTCACAGGGCCTTCTCTGAACATCCTCATATGGTAGCCCAGCGCTCAGAGCGAGACCCCATCTCTAACATGTGAGGGGGGGAAGGGATCAGGAAAGAAAATAAGCTGCCCCAAGCAGTCGTGCACCAGTTTTCCTGCAGACACAAAGCTGTCCTTTCCCGCACGGAGGCCCACAGCGTGACTGCTGACAAGTGTGTGTCTGCTGTCTCCCCAGGAAATAAGCAACGACATCTTTGCCTACATGCAAGGAGATGAGCTGGCTCAGGCTCACATCTATTTCTCCAATAACGGCGGCTACAGCTTTGACTTGTTCGTCTTTGAAAGCCAGGTATGTGGGGCTGGGAAGTGGCTCAGTGGTCGAGTGCTTGCCTAGCATGCATGAAGCCCTGGGTTCAGTTCCTCAGTACCACATACACAGAAAAAGCCAGAAATGGCACTGTGGCTCAAGTGGTAGAGTGCTAGCCTTGAGCAAAAGAAGCTCAGGGACAGTGCCCAGACCCTGAGTTCAAGCCCCAGGACCAGCAAAAGGAAAAAGAAAAGTTTAAAAAAAGAAAAAGGGAAGCCAGGTATGTGCTGTTGGGTTAGAAAACAGAAGCACGAGTTTCTGTCCTTTCTGTCCTGCTCTGTGGGTGATGCAGGAGGCCCCCCTTTTGTCTGGGAGTTCGAGACCAGCCTGGACAGCACAGTAACACTGGGTCTCCATCCATCCATCCACACAGAGGCACGATCACACAACTGCCAAAGGCCCAGCAGAGTTCCTCCTTATTTAAAGCTCCTGCAGGCTTGGAGGTTGGAGGGCAATGCCCAGGTGCAGGCCCTGGGTGAGCCATGCCCATCAGGTCCCCTCTGCCGCCGTCACGGGGAGGACCCACCCCACCCTCCAGCCGGGTGAGCAAGTGTCGGTGACTTCAGAACGTGACTGTCTTAGGCCATGTGTCTGTGGGGACAGAGTGCCCCATCCTGTGTGGGAGGCACCACTCACAGCCCTGCAGGCTGGGAAGCCAAGGTGCCCACGGAACAAGGTGCCTCCGTGGTCCTCCCAGAGCCCAAGGGAAAGGGAGGGAGGGCTCTGGAGCACTCCACCTCTCCAGCGGACTTCCTGGGGGCCCTCTGGTGTGATGGTGGAGCAGCCTCCACACTCCCTGCCGCCAGAGTCATATACTGCTGACCCCCCAGAGGCCGTGCCAATGGGTCTTCCCCCCCAGATGACATTTCAGGTCTTAGGTCTCCATGACAACACTCTGAGCCAAGTGGGATCATCTCAGTCGTGGGGGGAGGGGGAGTCTGCTGCTCAACCCCTCCCCTAAATCCCCATTGTCTGGGATTAAGTTCATGCCACAGGACCAGTCTGACATGGGCACAGGATCAGGTCCCAAATGCAATGAATGACTAGTGTTCAGACACCACAGAGCTGACCTGTCTCCATTTAAGCATTGGTGCCAGAGGCTCTGTTTCCCTACACAGGAAACAAAAGAAATACTCCTTCATTTTAGCTTGTTAGATCAACTGCACCAGCACTTAAACATAATTATAATGTCATCACAACACATAGCCTTATAGTCTTGATGCACATGCACAATTTTCTTTCTTGCTTCCTAGGCTGCAAACCCTGGAATGTTAGGGGGAATCTTTCACTTTCACCCCTTGTCACAGATCGGCATTCTTATTGTTGACAAAGGAATGGTAAGTTGATTACCCAGGGGGCAGACTTCTGAAGCGCCTTTGGCCACTGCTAGAGTTTTGTTGTTTTTTTTTTAAATTTTTATTTTATTTTATTTGAGAACATACTGTACAGAGGGGTTACAATTACATGGTCAGGATAATGCATACATTTCTTACCAAGCATTGCAGCCTCCTCCTTTGTTTACCCTTCACCTCCCTTCCCAGCCTCCCCCCTCCCCCCCCACTGCTAGAGTTTTGTTAAACTCTTACTTTGCATATGTAGCTTCTCATAGTTGAAATTTGCTTTTTATTCACCTTTCTATCTATGTATCCATCCACCTAACTATTCAGACATCCATTTCACCATTTATTTATCCACCCCACCCATCTATCTATCCACTCATCCATTCACCCATCTATCCATCCATCCATCCATCCAACATCCATCATCCATCCTTCCATTCATCTATCCTTTGATCCACCCACCCATCCATCCATGTGCACACCTATCCACTCTGAATCCTTCCCTTCCCTCCAATCCTCTGTCCATTCTTTTTTTTTTTTGGGTCCGGTCATGGGGCCAGAACTCTGGGCCTGGGCGCTGTCCCTCAGCTCTTCAGCTCAAGGCTAGCACTCTATCACTTGAGCCACAGCGCCACTTCCGGCTTTTTTCTTTTTGCTTATGTGGTGCTGAGGAGTCGAACCCAGGGCCTCATGCATGCAAGTCAAGCGCTCTACCACTGACCCACCTTCCCAGCCCTCCTCTGTCCATTATACACACACACACACACACACACAGCCACATTTATATGGTGTCTTCTGTTTGCTAGACACTGTGATGAGCACAGGACATAGATTATTTTCAATGCTCGTGTCAAGTACCTCTTTGAATGGCTATTTAAAAATGAGGCACACAAAACCTGTAATTTACGGCACCACTTGGTTTAAGTTGAAGAGATAAAGCCAATGGGAACCAACTCACAGAGAGGCTAAGTCATCAGTAGCCAAGTCTTGCAGAAATTACAAAAGGGATGTATGGTATGACTGAAGTTTGAAAGAGAGCCACTGGAGACAGTCCCATTCTGAGTGGGGAGATGAGGTAGTGTCACAGTGGTTACAAGATGGTGCCCTGTGATTGCTGCAGACAAAGCCACTAGGGTTCCCGTGGGTGAGGGGAGCCAGCGTCATGGTTTGGAGGGTGCAGAAGAGACCATGAAATTCTGTGAAGGGTCTTGTAGCTTGAGTAGAAGGTCCTGAGTGGTAGGCTCAAGTGAAAGGAAGTGAAGGTTCAAGGAGCCTGCCCCACAAGTATCCACCGCCCCTTTGCTTGTTCCCCTAGCTAAGCCCTGCTTTGTCCCCTGTAGACATCATAAATTTCCTAGATTACCAGGTGCCGGTGGCTCACCCCTGTAATACTAGCTACTCAGGAGGCTGAGATCTGAGGATTGTGGTTCGAAGCCAGCCTTGGTAGAAAAATCCCCATGAGACTCTTACCTCCAATGAGCCACCCCCAAACTGGAAGTGGTGCTGTGGCTCAAAGTGGTAGAGTGCTAACCTTGAGCAAAAGAACTCAGGGGCAGGGCCCAGACCCTGAATTCAAGCCCCACAACCAAACAAAAAAACAAAACAAAAAAACCTAGATTGTATTTCTGGTCCTGTCTCAAGAAGGTCCATCTTCCTAGGAGGAGGTCCTGGGTGACCAGCCAGTGCCTCCAAGTGTCCCAGGCCTCCGGGGTGAGGAGGGGCACTTTTCCAGGTTTGCCTTCCTAGCCTGGAAGCACTCACTCCTGTCCCTCTGTTTGGGGCGATGGAGATTGAACTTATGGACTCCTGCTTGCTAGGCAAGCCACATTCCCAGCCTCTTGTAGGCTTCAGTTTATTTTTCAGATAGGGTCCTCTGATTTTGCCCAGGATAGCTGCAGAACGAGATCCTCACACCTCTGTCTCCTGGTTAGCTAGGATAACAACAGTGCACCACCACACCCCTCTCTCTTTATACAACATATTTGTCTTCACCAGGCACTCCTGCTGATCTCCTGTGGTAGAATGGGTGGCAACTTCATGCTTCCCGCGGCACCCCTCTCCCTGCCCTTTTAGGATTTTTGTGTTTTGATAGTTTTTTGTTTTGTTTTGCATTGTTTTTGGTTAGTCGTGGGGCTTGAACTCTGGGCCTGGGCATTGTCCCTGAGCTGTTTTTTACTCAAGGCGAGCACTCTACCACTAGGAGCCAGGCGCCATTCTGGTTTTCTGGTGGTTCATTGGAGATTAGAGTCTCACCGACTTTCCTGTCCAGGCTGGCTTTGAACTGCTGTCCTCAGATCTCAGCCTCCTGAGTAGCTAGGATTACAGGCCTGAGCCACTGGCACCCGGCTCTTTACTAGTTTTTTGTTGTTGTTTTGTTCCCTGCTTGTTTGCTTCTAGACAGTGTCGGGTCTCACTATAGCCAAAGCTGGCCTGGAACTCAGTGATGCAGTCCAGCCTGACCTTGACCTTGAGATGCTCCTGCCTCAGCCTCCCAGTGTACACCACCACTTGTGGCTGAGGACGGCTTTGTGCGTTCTGATTCCTAGCCAGAACTGTGCCAGCCCAGCCCTCCATTCCACCCCGCTCTGGGCTTGTCCAACTGAAGATCCTTTATTAGATTTCTCCACATGCTGGAGGAGGAGGGCACAGGGAGCAGAAGGGGAGGGGGGATGGGGGAAGAAGGGAGTGACACAGGGGGCAGGTTTGCTCCTGCCATGATGTCTGCATTTATGAAACCACAGTATATAGCCCATGATGCCGACAAACATGTGAAAGAATAGTAACAAGCTAGTGAGCCATGAGAGAGAGAGAGAGAGAGAGAGAGAGAGAGAAGGCATAGCATTATCAGGCTGGTTCCTTGCCTGGCCCCTCCCAGGTGACAGCACTTGTGCTCCTGACAGGCTGTTGTGGGGATGAGGGCACTATGGGAGGAGCTGGGGCCAGGGGACCCCTCCACTCAGCCTCTTCAGTAGGGCCTCTCCCTCCTTCCTGTCCTGGGAAGAGGATGGTCAGTTTTTATTTGGTTTGGTTTTTGGAGGTACTGGGGTTTGAACTTGAGCTGAGCTTGCTAGGCAGATACTCTACCAACTGCCGCCATGCCTTCAGCCCTTTCTGCATTCATTATTTTTCTTTTCTTTTTTGACCAGCCCTGGGGATTGAACTCAGGGCCTGGGTGCTGTCCCTGAGCTCTTTTTTCCTCAAGGCTAGCGTTCTGCCATTTGAGCACAGCACTACTTCCAGCTTTTTCTCTGTGTGTGGTACTGAGCAGTCGAACCCAGGCTTCATGCATGCTAGGCAAGCACTGGACCACTAAGCCACATTCCCAGCCCATCATTTTTCAAAAAGAGCCTCAAGTTTATCCCTGAGCTGGCCAGGGGGGTGGGGGGGTGGGGGCATGCTTCTATTTACATTATCTGCCTAGCTGGGTTGGCAGGTGTGAGCCACCGCAGTCAGCTTTGACCGGTTGAGATAGGTGCTTGCCCTCTTTCTGCCCAGGCTGGCCTCCAACATTGATCCTCCTAATCGCCACATCCCAAGTAGCTGGTATTATAGGTGCGTGCCACCACACCCAGCCTCAGGCTAGTGTTGGTAATTCCACCCTTTCAGGTGTTGTCAGAAGGACACAGGCTGTCCTAGGACCCTCCAGGATATCTGGAGGACAGAGGGCTTTGGAAAGCACATAGGGGAATTTGTACTTGATACTAAAACCAAAGGCTGGAAAGAATAGGGGTTGTGAGATGGGCAGGGTGGCATATACCCACAGTCCCAGCATGCAGGAGGCTGAGGCGGGAGGAGCACCAGCTGAAGGCCAGCCCAGGCAAAGGTAGCCAGATTTTATTCTGAAAGACAGAATGGAAGCTAAGAGGACTGGGCATGTAACTCCAGCGGTAAAGGGCTTGCCTGGGCAGTGCAGGGCACTGGGTTCCATCCTCAGTAGTGAAGGGAAAAAAATATAACAAAATATGGACCACCTCAAACCAGACACCTTATAAGGAAAGATAACAGAGGAGGGGCTGCTTTATAACAACTTGTCCTTTTTTCTTCTTTTTTGGTGCCAAAGATTGCACCAGTGCCCTTGCCGCCTCAACTCCTCTTCCTGCACGGTAGACTGGCACTTGGCCACTTGAGCCATTCCTGCAGCCTGGCTTTTTGCTGGTTATTTTGGAGATAAGAGTCTCACAGACTTCCTCCCCCCCCCCCCCTCCCCCAGGTGGATCTTGAACCATGATCTCATCTCTCCTGAGTAGCTAGGATTACCGGCATGACCCTCTGGAGCCTGGCCTATTTTCATTATTTTGCAGCAGGCTCTTGGTAGTACTATATTTGCCTCGGGTGACCCCAAACTAGGGATACTTGTGTCTCTGCCTCCCAGATAGCTAGGACTACAGGCATGCACTACAAGCTGCTGTAGAAGTCACTAGTCTAATCCTGGAAAACCTAACCCACACTCTGGAGAGAAGCATTAGTCCCTTTGGTGGGTAACCTAATCCTTAAAGCACCACCCTCTTTTAATACTGCTGCCTTTGGGGCTCAGACCTCAGCACATGAACCTCTGGAAATCTTTAACTACATCCAACCCACGGTGGAGGCGACCTGAGCCCATCAGAGCTGGCCGCTGATGGGTTTCCCACATTTCAGGCCAGGTTGTTCCCTGGGGTGGGGTGGGGTGTCCTGGCTTCCACTCCATGCCTGGGGGCTCCCCCACTCCTTGTGGCCACAGGTCCCCAGATTAGCTCCCCCTCCCTCCAGGGCAGAGTGGCCCCAGGGGACAGCTGCTGGCCTTGGAAGGGCTTCACTTTGAGAAGCAGAGGATGAAGGCCCAGGGAGGAAGCTGAACGCCGCCGCCGCCTGGGTCACAGGTGTCTCCTTCTCCCAGGCCATGTTCCAATACACGGACTACCCACTCAACCGCAGCCTGGGCATGGCCTTCCCATACAAAGATACCATGAATGTCGTCCTCACCCCGGGCCAGAAGGGCTTTATCATCCTCTGGAGCCAAAACAACCTGTTTGTGTCTCCCAACTCAGGTAAGGGAACATAGGAGGGACTGGGCTGCGACTTGACCAGGCAGGGGGTGGGGCCCAGGTGCTGCCCGGGGAAACTGCCCTCCCTTCCCCTTCTGCTTCCTTCCTAGTAGGGCTGGGGGGACAGACAGGTCCAGATACACACACACACACACACACACACACACACACACACACACACACACACACACTCACACATACACACTAGCCGCTGGCAGAGGCCCCTACTCTTGGTCCAGGGAACCTCATACTATCTTGCTTGAATGAGATGTGTCAGGGTACCCGCTAAACGTTGAGCATCCACCTAGAAATGAGCATTACTCCAGACAGAAAGATCTAGAAGGCTGGGCTGGGAAGGTGGCTTCGTGGTAAGAGTGCTTGCCTAGCATGCATGAAGCCCTGGATTCCACTCCTCAGTACCACACACACACGAGAAGTGGCTCTGTGGCTCAAGTGGTAGAGTACTAGCCTTGAGCAAAAAGAAGCTCAGGGACAGTGCCCAGGCCCTGAGTTCAAGCCAGGTGCCCATGACTCACGCCTGTAATCCTAGCTACACAGGAGGCTGAGATCTGAAGATCAGAGTTAAAAGCCAGCCTGGGCAGGAAAGTCTGTGAGACTCTTATCTCCAATAAACCATCAGAAAACCAGAAGTGGCACTGTGGCTCAAGTGGTAGAGCGCTCGCTTTGAGCTGAAGAGCTGAGGGACAGCACCCAAGTCCAGAGTTCAAGACCCATGAGTGACAAAAAAAAAAAAGAAAGAAATAAAAAGAAATCACTTTGCACACGTGTGATGGTTCATGCTGGTAATCTGAGCTACTGCAGAGGCAGGGGAGACAGAGCTTGAGGGCAGACCCTGCAAAATTCCTAAGGAAATATAAAAATCACAGTTGGGTTGTGAGCCACATGCCTGGGTCTTCATGGGGTCAGGCCTCAGAGGTCACTGTCCACTGTCTCCCTAGGTCAGCTTGTGAACACTGTCCAGTTACAGCAAGAAGGGAAGATCCAGTTTCCCTCCATCTTCGATACCAACATCACCATCCACAACATCGCTGCCAGTGGGTACTGCTCTGATGGGGATCTCGAAAAACCTGGGTACTGCTTAGGGCCGCCAGCCTGTAGTCCCAAGCTATCCCATGTGCAGAAGTTGTTTGTCAAAGGCCTAACAGACAAAACCCAAAAATGATCTGGTTCCTCATTAAAAGAGCCATCCCTACATGAGTGGCCAGGTACTCTGGCCAGATGCTGCTATCCTGGAGGCTCAAGCCTGTAATCCCAGCTACTCAGGAAGCTGAGCTCTGAGTGGTTTGAAGCCACCCTAGGCAGGAAAGTGTGTGAGACTCTGACCTCCAGTTAACCAACAAAAATCGGGAAGTAGAGGTGTCATTCAGGTAGTAGAGCACCAGCCTTGGTGTAAAAGCCAAGTGAGAGGAAGAGGCCCTGAATTCAAGTTCTAGTAATGGCACATATACAACCAAATTCAGCAGGAATGAACTCATGATGGGTGGTGTGTGTGTGTGTGTGTGTGTGTGTGTGTGTGTCTTTGCCATCAACTTTAGTCCTCCAAATAAAGACTCACACATATTAAATACTGCCCTGGGGAAGAGAATATTTAGAATCATCTCTACAAGGATTCCCCCTCCCTCCCTCCTTCCCTCCTTCCCTCCCTCTCTCCCCCCTCCCTCCCTCCCTCCCTCCCTCCCTCCCTCCCTTTTTCCTTCCTTTCTTCCTTCCTTCCTTCTTTGGTTCCTTCCATACACATGGCATCATGCTGTGAGTTATCCTACAGTTTGCCTTCTTCAAGCAAACGTCCTATAAAATTGCCCTCTTGACAACTTTTTTTTCTTTTTTCTTTTTTTTGTGCCAGTCCTGGGCTTGATCTCAGGATCTATGCTGTTCTCAGACCACCTTTGCTCAAGACTAGCATTCTACCACTTGAGCTGTGGCACCACTTCCCACTTGATCTGAATAATTTATTGGAGATAAGAGTCTTACAGATATTCCTGCTTGGGCTGGCTTTAAACCTCAGTCCTCAGATCTCAGCCTCCTGAGTAGCTAGGATTACTGGTGTGAGCCACCAATGCCCAGCCCTCTTAACTTTATCATTAACCAAAACACAGTGTTATACAGATTTCTGTAACAGCCTTGCATATCTAAGCTTTGTTTTCTTGGTGGTACTGGAATTGAACTCAATAACTCAATCTCATGCTTGCTGGGCAAGTGCTGTACCACTACGCCCTGCCTCCAGTCCTCTTTTGAACTAACTAGCTAGTTCTTTCTTCTTTTTTCTTTTTCTTTTCTTTTCTTTTTTTTTTGTCGGTTGTGGGGCTATAACTCTGGGCCTGGGCACTGTCCCTGAGCTCTTCAGCTCAAGGCCAACGTTCTAGCACTTGAGCCACAGCGCCACTTCCAGTTTTCTGGTGGTTAATTGGAGATATGAATCTCACAGACTTTTCTGCCTGGGCTGGCTTTGAACCACGATCCTCAGATCTCAGCCTCCTTTGTAGCTAGGATTACAGACGTGAGCTGCCGGCACCTGGCCAAACTGGCTATTTCTGAGAGAGGGTCTGGAGTCCTGCCTGGGTTGTGACATGTTTTAGGCTAGGATGACAGGTGCACACCACCCTGCTCAGCTTCTTCTACTGAGATGGGGTGTTGCATACCCTGCTGACCAGGCTGGCCTGGAACTCCAGTCTTCCTGATCTCAACCTCCCATGTAGCTAGGATGACAGTCCCAAACCACCTGCATCCAACTTGTAACGGAAACGTCTTACCTATGGAATAGCAAATTTCCATGTCCTATGCCCCAGGCCCACTCTGTCTTTATGACTGTTTTAGATTCCACATATTAGTGAGCTCATAAGCATGTGTTCATGAGTAGCTGTGTTCACTTACTGTAACAACTTCAAGATTCATCTCTCTTGTAGAACATGGCAGGATTTCCTTTATGAAGGCTAAATAATATTCTGTTGTGTGGACAGACTACATTTTCTTTATCCTTTGACTCCTGTGTGGGCATGTAGGTTTCCACACTGGCTGTTGTGTGCAATGCTGTGGTGGACATGGAAGTTGGAAAATGCACATTGAGACCTGAACAAGCCACACGATGGTTTCACCCTAGCTACTCAGGAGGCCGAGATCTGAGGATCACAGTTCAAAGCCAGCCCAGACAGGGAAATCTGTGAGCCCCCTACCTCCAGTTAACCACCAAAAAGCTAGAAGTAGAGGTGTGGCTTAAGTAGTGAAGTGCTAGCTTTTGAACAGAGAAGCTCAGGGACATACCCAGGTCCTGGGTTCAAGCCCTGGGACTGGCATAGGAAAAAATAACAAAAAACAAAACCTACCAAGGAACCACTACACACCATCAGGAATGCTATGATTACAGAAAAAAAGTCAAATGATAACAAAATGTAGAGACATTGGAAGTGGTATGCACTGCTGGTGGGAAATACAATGGCAGAGCACTTGCCAAGAACGTGCACAGCCCTGAAGACCATCCCAGCACTGGAAAACATCATTTAGAAAAGGAAAGAAAACTGGGCTGGAGGTGTGGCTTAGCAGTAGAGTACCTGCCTAGTAAGTGCCAGGCCCTGAGTTCAAAACACAGTAGAGCCAAGCACCTGAGGCTCAGGCCTGTTATCCTAGCTACTCAGGAGGCTGAGATCTGAGGATCACCGTTCAAACCCAGGCCAGGCAAGAAAGCTTGTGAGACTTATCTCCAATGAACCACTCAAACACCAGAAGTGGCACTGTGGCTCAAAGTGGTAGCATGCGAGCCTTGAGCAAAAAAACTCGGGACAGCACTCAGGCCCTGAGTTCAAGCCCCATGACTAACAAAGAAAAAAAAGGTCTGGGAAGGTGGCTCAGTGGTAGAGTGCTTGCCTCCCATCCATGAGGCCCTGGGTTTGATTCCTCAGTACCTCATAAGCAGAAAAACCCAGAAGTGGTGCTGTGGCTCAAGTGGTAGAGCGCTAGCCTTGAGCTGAAGAGCTGAGGGACAGTGCCCAGGCCCAGAGTTCAGGCCCCATGACTGATAAAAAAAAGGTGTGTGGGGGGAAGCCAGGTGCCTGTGGCTCACGCCTGTAATCCTAGCTACTCAGGAGGCTGAGATCTGAGGATCACAGTTCAGAGCCAGCCTGAGCAGGAAAATCTGTGAGACTTTTTTTTGGGGGTCCGTGGGGCTTGAATTCTGGGCCTGGGCACTGTCCCTCAGCTCTTCAGCTCAATGCTAGCGCTCTACCACTTGAGCCACAGTGCCACTTCCGGCTTTTTTCTTTTTGCTTATGTGGTGCTGAAGAATGGAACCCAGGGCCTCATGCATGCAAGGCAAGCGCTCTACAACTGAGCCACCTTCCCAGCCCCTGTGAGACTCTTATCTCCAATAAACTATTCAAAAAGCAAAAACTCTCAAGTAGTAGAGCGCTAACCTTGAACAGAAACAGGCTCAGGGATAGAACCCAGGCCCCAGGACTGATCAAAAAAAAAAAAAAAGAAAAGACCAAAATAAACTACAAAATGGCACAACCCCTATGGGAAACAACTCAGCAATTCATCAAAAAATGAACACGCAATGCCTACACAACCCAGTAGTCCCATTGGGAATGTAGTTACCATGAGAATTGCCCTCAAATGGAGCTAACTTGGATGTCCATCAGAAACAGGGGGATCTGGGGGCTCCTCAGCCCAGCCAGCCCTGCATCAAGAGCCAGTATTTCATCTGCTCACACCCCAGGCTTAAGATAGGCTGAAGCCCACTGTGAAGTCCAAGGGCTGATTGTCTCCACTTAGGCAGGTTGCCTTATTTGGACAAGATCCAGTCAGTTGGCTGCCTGTGATTGGTTGAAGCTTGGCTGCTTCTGATTGGCTTGACACTGACTGTTGTGTGTTATAAAGAGATACATGGACAAATTTGAGCTTGTTCATGCACTAAGCTAGGTTGTGGCATTCTGTAGCCGCTCTAGCTCCTCCCGCTGGAAGTTGCAGGGTTACACAATTGAAGAAATGTGGGGTTTGGTTTTGTGTTTGGAATGACCATCATGACTTTTGTTTTTGCTTTGTCTTTCTCAGATGAAAATGAACTGGCAGTGTTAACACGGGAGAGTAATTTGTTCTATGGGAATCTGGGATTCCTGTCTACTCCTGCAATCAAAGTAGGTACAAAGCAAAAGCACATCCAGACCCCCTTGGGAAGGAATAAGGACATATTCACCTACTGCCTGAAGCTGGATGTCACGTTATTTAGTCATAAAAATGGGCAGGGCTGGGAATGTGGCTTAGTGGTAGAGTGCTTGCCTATCAGACATGAAGCTGTGGGTTAGAATCCTCAATACCACATAAATAGAGAAGGCCAGAAGTGGCACTGTGGCTTAAGTGGTAGAGTGCTAGCTCTGAGCAAAAGAAGTTCAGGGACAGTACCCAAACAAACAACAAAAGGGCAGTAATCTGCCAGGCGCTGCTGGCTCAAGCCTGTAATCCTAGCTATTCAGAAGGCAGAGATCTGAAATCATGGTTTAAAAACAGACTAGCAAAACGGGAGCCAGTGGCTCACACCTGTAATCCTAGCTATTCAGGAGGCTGAGATCTGAGGATCGAGGTTCACAGCCAGCCCGGGCAGGAAAGACCATGAGATCGTATCTCCAAAAAAAAAACAGTAGAAGACTGGAAGTAGCGCTGTAGCTCAAGTGGTAGAGCGCTCACCTTGAGCTGAAGAGCTGAAGGACAGTGCGCAGGCCCAGAGTTCAAGCCCCACGACAGATAAAAAACAAAAAAAAAACAAAAACAAAAACAAAAGACTAGCAGAAAAGTCTGAGAGAACATAACCTCTAGTTATCCAGCAAAAATGCTGGACTGGAGGTATGGCTCAAGTAATAAGAGTGCCAGCTGAGCAAGCAAGTTGAACAAGTTTGCAAGGTCCTAAATTTAAGCCCTAGTACACACACACACACACACACACACACACACACACACACACACATACACACACACACACACACACACACACAGAATTAGACACAAAGAGATTAACTCCATTACCAAGTAGTATGACTGAGAGTGTAGCTTAATAGTGGAGAACTTGCCAAGCATGTCTGAGGCCCTGGATTTGATCCCTAGTAGCACATACTAATATATATATATATATATATATATATATATATATATATATATATATATATATACATAGAGAGAGAGAGAGAGAGAGAATTTTGCTGGGCATTGGTGGCTCACACCTGTCATCCTACTCAGGAGGCTGAGATCTGGAGATCATGGTTCAAACCCAGCCCTAGTAAGAAAGTCCATGAGACTCATCTCCAATAACCACCAGAAAACCAGAAGTGGTGCTGTGGCTCAAAGTGGTAGAGTGCTAGCCTTGAGGAAAAAAAAAAAAAATCTCAGGGACAGCGCCCAAACCCTGAATTCAAGCCCCAAGACTGACAAAAAAAAAAAAAATTATAGAATGAGTTACCTGGGCACTGTTGGTTTACGCCTGTAACCTAGCTACTCAGGAGGCAGAGATCTGAGGACTGCAGTTCAAAGCCAGCTGGGGCAGGAAAGTCCATGAGACTTTTATCTTTTATCGGAAATGGCGCTGTAGCTCAAGTGGTAAAGCGATGACCTTGAGCTGAAGAGCTGAGGGACGGTGCCCAGGCCCAGATTTCAAGCCCCACGAGACCAACAAACAAACAAAAAAGTAATAGAGTGAACTGATCTCAGAAGTTCTTCCATTCCCTCCCAGCTCGTAGACCAGTCCCTGTGGTCTCCGGAGGCAGCCTTGACATTCCATAGTTCAGGGATGCTGGAAATCCTGACCCCGGTTGTGGACACGGCATTCGCGGCTTTCGATTTCCAGAAGTGCTCTATGAACATGCAGGCCATTCTCATGGACCCCAACCTCCACATTGAGAAGTGCAAGGTAGGCGGCCCTGTGACCTTGTAGACACCTGCAGAGAAACCACCCAGCCTGCCCCAGGCCGCACCACTGGAAGCCCAGGGGGAGAAAGCGCTCCACTAGGACAGCCAAGCACCAGCCAAGGCACACCCTGTGCCCTCGGAAGCTGAGATTCACAGCTAGGTCTAGCAGCCCTGTCACCTGGGACCTTCCCCTGTGGTCTCCATGACCCTGATACCAGAAAGGAATTCACCCTTCCTTCCCTCCCAACTTCCTTCCATGTCGTTGGAACCAGGGCATTGCTCAGGTTGGGACATGCTTTGTGCCCGTGGGTTCATGCAGTAAATACTCAGACCCAGGATGATGGTGAGAGGAGGTGGCCCTTGTAAAAGTGGAAGGTGTTCAGATCCTGGGATGTCCATCTTGGAAGGGATCGCCACTTTTCTCTTCTCTCTCTTTATCTGGGGAGCCCCATGGGTTTGGTCCTTTTGTGCATGTGGTCAGGTCCTGTTCCATTCTCCCATGTTGAGATGCAGCCCAGAAGTCCTCATCCTCCTGCCACTAGAACCATGACCCAAACAAACCCCTTTATTTTATCAATCACTTGGCCTCCAGTACTTAATTATAGCAACGGAGGACAAGGCAAAATGTCAACCAATACAGCCGGTTACTGACAGCTCATACCTATAATCTTAGCCATTTAGGAGGCTCAGATGTGAGAATCATGGTTCAAAGCCAGCCTGGACAATAAAGTCCATGAGGCTCTTATCTCCAATTAACCACCAAAAAGCTGGAAGTGGAGCTCTGGCTCAAGTGGTAGAGAACCAACCTTGAGCAAAAAAAAAAAAAAAAAAAAAAGGCTCAGGGATAGTTCCTAGGCTCTGAATTCAAGCCCAGGACTGACAATTAAAAAAAAAAAAAAAAAGTGAAACAACCCTTTTAGTTCTGTAAGCAGTTGGTGATGGCTCCACACTAGCTTTCCTCCCTAAAGTTTTAGAGAGGGTTATTTGATTTAGCTCAAAATACCCACCAAGGCATCAGGATCCCTCTGATGCTAAACTAACTTAGTAAAGAGTAAAAAAAATTCTTGCCAGGCCTAAGGCTTTAACTCAGAGCCTGGGCACTGTCCCTGAGCTTCTTTTTGCTCAAGGCTAGCACTCTACCACCACTTGAGCCACAGCACCACTTCCGGCTTTTTCTGTGTATGTGGTACTGAGGAATCAAACCCAGGCCTTGGCAAGTAAGCCACTTTCCCAGTCCAAAAGATTGAAAAAAAAGAAAGAAAGAAAGAAAGAAAGAAAAGAAACATGGAAATGTGTATTGTGAATTTGGATCCACTGTTTTGCAAGTGATGGAAAATCCAAACCAGATGGTCCTGGTCCATTGTTGACCCACATAGCCAAAAAGTGTAAAGGAGATAAAGCTTCAGGTAGGGTTTGATCTACAAGCCAAGTCATGCCATGAGGGAGCCCCTTCCTCCTTCCTCCCACTCCACATCTCATGTGTCCTTGGTTTCACCTGGAGCTCTACCCAGATGCCTCTAGAAACCTCCAGATTCTCCCGCAGGACCCAGAAAACCATGAGGCACCTTTCAAATCATTGTACCACAAGGAGAGGAGCTCGTATGCCCCACCCCCCACCCCAACTCTGAGACAAACTGCCATGCCTGCTTTTCTCCCATGCCACTCAGTTTCCCTTATCTCTTCTTCTTCTTTTTTTTTCTTTTTTTGTCCGTCGTGGGGCTTGAACTCTGAGCTAGGGCCCTGTCCCTCTTCCCTGAGCTCTTCAGCTCAAGGCTAGGGCTCTGCTGCTTGAGCCATGGTGCTACTTCCAGTTTTCTAGTGTTTTATTGGAGATAAGAGTCTCATGGACTTTCCTGCCCAAGCTGGCTTTGAATCATGATCCTCAGATCTCAGCCTCCTGAGTAGCTAGGATGTGTGAGCCACTGCTGCCCACCACTTCTGGCTTTTTCTATTTATGTGGGGCTGAGGAATTAAATCCAGGGCCTTATGCATGCAAGGCAAGCACTTTACCACTGAGCCACCTTCCCAGCCCCTTGTTTTTGTTTTTGTTGTTTGCTGTGTGTATGGCGTGTGTTGTATGTGGTGTGTGTATGTGTGTGTGTGTGTGTGTGTGTGTGTGTGTGTGTGTGTGCTCAACAGTCCTGGACTTGAACTCAGGGCCTGGGCAATATTCCTTAGCTTTTTTGCTCAAGGCTGCCACTCTACCACTTGGACCACAGCCCCACTTCCAGCTTTTTGGTGATTAATTGGAAGTAAGAGTCTCATGGATGGGGCTGGGAAGGTGGCTCAGTGGTAGAGCGCTTGCCTTGCATGCATGAGGCCCTGGGTTTGATTCCCCAGCACCACCTAAGTAGAAAAAGCCGGAAGTAGTGCTGTAGCTCAAATGGTAGACTGCTAGCCTTGAGCTGAAGAGCTGAGGGACAGTGCCCAGGCCCAGAGTTAAGGCCCCATGACCAACAACAACAGCAACAAAAAAGAGTCTCATAGACTTTCCTAAGGAACAAGACTGAAAGGAAGTAAGGAAGAACTAAGGGACAATACCCAGTCCCTGAGTTCAAGTCCCAGTACTGCGCATGTGCCTGCATGCATGTGTGCATACTCAGAAGGAGAAGCAAAAGCACTCACAAAGCAGGCTTAAAGAAACCCCAGGCATGACTGCCTAGAGATTGAGGGGACACTATTCACAGGCAGGGTTCTTTGGGCCCAAGGCCTAGGTAGCTGAGCAGACAGGCCCCCACATTTCTAACCCTAGACCCCTGTATCACCTTTCCAAACTTGCTCATTGTCCCTGGGAGTGGGGCCTGGAGATGCCCCCTTCCTAAGCAGGCCTTGCTTCCTACCTAGATAGAGCTGCTGGAGGGCCAGTTTGATGAAGACCTTTACACCATCGATATGAAAAGCAGCCTGCTTCTGTCAGCCTTCTTCATTCCGCGGCCTGGCACGTCCCCCATTCCACTAGTGAGTGAGTCCCAGCACTCGGCCACAGTCTCAGCCGCTGCCTAACCCATCTCTGCACCTGGGACCCACCCTGCCTTCCTGCCACCCAGCCACCACCATGGTCTCCCAGGCTCTCAGGCCCTGCCTGCCTTTCTGCCAGCCTGGCCACCTCTGCATGCTGATGTGTGTGTGTGTGTGTGTGTGTGTGTGTGTGTGTGTGTGTGTGTGTGAATGTGAATATTGGGGCCTAGATGGATACTGTTCATGAGCTTTTTCTCTCCAAGCTGGCACTCTGCTACTTGAGCCACAGCACCACCTCTGGCTCTTTTAGTAGTTATTTGGAGATAGAAGTCTCACCAGCTTTTCTGCCCAGGCTGGCTTCAAACTGTGATCCTCAGATCTCCCCTTCCTGAGTAGCTGGGATTACAGGTGTGAGCCACTGTGGTAGCCACCTTCTCTCCCTTCTGTCTGAGCCTCCCCATGAATTCTTCTTCCTTCCCCACTGCCTCCTCCTCCTTGCCCTTGGTCCTAGTTATTGTCCTCTCTCTCCTCCTCTCTTCTCCTTCCTCCTCTTCTTCCACCTCCTCTTTCCCCTCCTCTTCCTCCTCCCCCTCTTCCCCCTTCTCCCTCTCCCTCCCCCCCTCCCCCTCCCCCTCCTCTCTCCTCCTCCTCCCCCTCCTCCTCCTTCCTCTCCCTCTTCCTTCTCCTCCTCCTCCTCCTCCTCCTCCTCCTCCTCCTCCTCCTCCTCCTCCTCCTCCTCCTCCTCCTCCTCCTCCTCCTCCTCCTTCCCCTCCACCTCATCCCCTTATTTTTTTACTTCATCCTGCTGGAAGGCAGAGCCCTGTGCATACCAGGCGAGCACTGAGCACGGAGCCCCTCCACCCCCAGCCCCGTGAGGATCTTCACGGCCAGCTGCATGTCTGAGAACCAGGCAAAATGGCCTTTGGGCCCTTGCGTCCCCGCGGGGACAGAGCCTGAACCGGACCACACGCGTGGGCTAGGTCTCCCGTCCTCCAGGCCCAGGAGCCGGGCTGCGGGGGCCAGGCCTGCCTGCCCTGGGTTCAGAAGCTGGTTCAGTGGATGGGGCTGGGGTCCCTGGCCGTGTGGCAGCCTGTCTCTCTCCGCACCCCCCCCCCACGAGCCTGCAGGTGATGGTGAGCAACCCCCACTCTCTGGGGCTGCATGCAACCATGAGTGAGTTCGGGAGCACTCTGGATGGGAACACCCAGTACAGGCTGGTGAGTGAGGGCAGCCCGCAGGCCCGGACCTGCCATGCCCGCGCCTGGGGAGGCCCTGCTGTCAGATGCCCCTCACCTCAGAGTTCCCGCCCTCAGTAACTCCAGCCCTCGGATAGCCCACTCCCCAGGAGGACCCGCCCCTTGAAGCCCCACCACTAGGAGTCCACACCCTCGGAGGCCCCGCCCAGCGAAGCCACGCCCTAGGAGGCCCGCCCCCTTGGGAGCACGCCCCTCGGAGGCCCTGCCCAGCGAAGCCACGCCCTAGGAGGCCCCGCCCCCTCAGAATTCCTGCCCCATGCAACTCCACCCCTGGGTGCCCCGCCCCTCGAGGCCCCACCACTGGGAGTCCACACACTCGGAGGCCCCGCCCCCAGGGAAGCCTGCCCTCAGAGGCCCCGCCCCCAGAGTCCACACCTTCCTCCTTGGCCCCGCCCCAACCACGGGGTCACTTGGGTCACACAGGGAACCCCACAAGGGTTGGGGGGGTAATTGGCCTCTGAGGAGGTCCACTTGGGGGCCCCTGCACCTTGACAGGGCTCTAGGAGCTAGGACGGGTCACAATTCGGCCGGACTGGGGGGTCTGCAGGACAAATGCTTTTGGTGTCCCTTGTCACAACACGGGGGAGTCAGGGGAGAGAGGCCTGAGGCCCCGGCTTACTGGGAGGTGTCATGTGAAAAGGGGGCATGGGGGGCTCCTCGGCGCTGTCCCCACCTGAGCCCACCCCACCCTGACGTCTAGCGGAGCCCTGTTCAGACACTTCGCTTCCCCCACCCCCATCCTGTTCCTCAGGACATTAAACTGGAGCAGCAGCAGCACTCGGGCAGGACGGACCCCAAGTTTACCTCCAGGTGAGCTGGGAGTAAAAAAAACCTACTCTGCCAATCACACTGCCTCCAGAAAATTAGAGGCAGAATTGCCATATAGGCAAGCCCCACCCTCAGGCACTGCAGGAAGGTCTCCACACACTGCGAGCTCTGTGCCCAGCATAGGGTGGCACAGCACAGCCCATCCAATCGTGCTGGGAATATCACTCAGCCATGAAAAGGGACATTTTAATAGTGCAATGCGGAGAGACGTGAGGACACGGTGCTTGGGCAAGGTGACAAAGCAGACACAGGCAGTGACACACACCACAGTAACCCCCCGCTGCAGCTCCCAGGACTTCTCAGATCCAGAGAAAGGAAATGCATGAGCGCCAACAGCTGGGAGGAGAAAGGAGGTAGAGTTGAATGGAGACAAAGCTTCAGTGTGGCAAGGTCTGCAGGTGGAGGGTGGGAAAGGCTACGGGCCACAGGACCACTTGATGTGGCTGAACTGGGTCCTGGGGCTTGAACTCAGGACGTGGGCGCTGTCCCTGATCTCTTTTACTCAAGGCTAGTGCTCTACCTCTTCAGCCACAGCTCCACTTCTGGCTTCTTTGGTTAAATGGAAATCAGAGTCTCACAGACTTTCCTACCCAGGCTGGCTTCAAAACATGATCCTCAGATCTCAGCCTCCTGTGTAGCTGGGATTACAGGTGTGAGCCACCAGCACCTGGCCACCATGTTCAATTGTAAGTCAGTATATCTTGCCACCATGGTAAGCAAGCAGGCAGCAAATGGCAGCACAGCTACTCAGCAAGGAGGGGAAGCAAAATGGAGGGAGGGAGGGGTTCCATCTGTTTCCAGCCCAGCTTTCCTGTGTGTAACACAGTACGAGGGGACCCCGGTTCAGAGTTCCCCCCCTGGATGGAGTCTGCCCTGGGAACTGCTCTCCTCTGACAGCAGGCTCCAGCTGTGCATGGCATGAACGATGGGGGTGCCAGCGAGTCCCCATTGCAAGAGATGATGACATTGGACCACCAAGGGCCCGCACCTGGAGGGTAGAGGGGAGACAGTACCTAGCAGGAGCCAGAGGAACCCCACAAGACCCCACACGTGGCGCTCAGGGTCACCGGGCTCTTCCTTGCAAAGCTAGGCAAGGATCAAACAGCAGGAGTATTCTTTTTATTTTTTTTTTCCTTTTTTTTTCTTTTTTCTGTTCCTGGTGCCTGAAGTCTGGGCCTGAGCCTTGTCCCTGAGCCTCTTTGTGTTCAAGGCTAGCGCTCCACCACTTGAGCCACAGCACCACTTCTGGCTTTATTTCCGAGTAGTTTATTGGAGAAGTGAGGCTCACGGCCTTTCCTGTTGGGGCTGGCTTTGAACCGTGACCCTAAGATCTCAGTCTCTTGAGAAGCTAAGATTACAAGCGTGAGACACTGGTGCCTGGCAGGAGTGTTCTTTTGTGGTGATGGTTATTGGCTTCATGTGTGTGTGTGTGTGTGTGTGTGTGTGTGTGTGTGTGCGCGCGCGCGCGCGCGCGCGCGCGACTGGGGTTTGAACTCGGGGCCTTGCTCTAGCTAGGCAGATGCTCTACCTCTTAAGCCAGGAGCTATTGCAGAGCCACGCCCCAGGGCGGAGCCACGCCCAGGCAGAGCCACGCCCCAGGGCGGAGCCACGCCCAGGCAGAGCCACGCCCCAGGGCGGAGCCACGCCTCTGCGTTGTTTTGCTTTGCTTTTTGCAGCTGAGTGAGTGCCACCACACAGATTGCTGAGATGAGGACTTCCCTGATAACTTTTCTCTTTCTCTTCCCCCTGCCCCCAAGTCTGTCCTCCCTCTACAATCCTTCAGATCCCTTCCTGCTGAAGGGCTTGGGACCATAGGTGTAAGCCACCACACCTGGCTTTTCCCAGGGACAACCCTCAGAGAGGGGGCTTGGAGTCAGGACAGCGCTCTCCTTCAGAGCAGTTGCCAGCAACCCCCGGGGTCATCTTTACCAAGTGTTCCATGGTCCTTGGGGAGGACCCCTCAGGGACAGAGATCACCATTGAACCAAGGGGACCGGCCCCGGTTCCATGCTGGCCCACCATTCAGTCAGGACCATGCCGCCTCCCCCAGCCAACATCACCAAGGCCACATTTGATGTCACCTGCGAGGCCTGCAGCTCCCCACGTCCCAGCTGTGGCCACAGCACAGAGCAAAGGGAAACTGGAAGTAATATGTCTTCAGGAAAAAAGAAAAAAGCAATAGGATCCGAGCGCCAGTGGCTCACGCCTGTAATCCTAGCTACTCAGGAGGCTGAGATCTGAGGATCACAGTTCAAAGCCAGTTGGGGCAGGAAAGTCTGTGAGACTCTTATCTCCAATAAAACTGGAAGTGGTGCTGTGGCTCAAGTGGTAGAGCGCTCGTCTTGAGCTGAAGAGCTCAGGGACAACGCCCAGGCCCAGAGTTCAAGCTCCAGGACCGACCAAAAAAAGAAAGAAAGAAAAGAAAAAAACACTAGGTGGCGCTGGCGACCCACTCCTGTAATCCTCAGCATTCAACCTCTGTTCAGAGCCTCAGCTCTGAGGATCACAGTTCAAAGCCAGCCTGGGCAGGTAAAATCTATGAATCTATTTCCAATTAACCTGCAAAAAGCTAGAAGTGGAGCTGTGCTTCAACTAGTAGAGCATTAGTCTTGAGTGAAAAAACACCTCAGGGACAGCACCCATGCCCTGAGTTCAAGCCTCAGGAGCAGCATGCACGTGCACACACACACACACACACACACACACACACACACACACTCCATCATAGCTCACTTATGAGCTGAGGTACAGCTCGTCATGGAGCTGGGATGTGGGAAGCCCTAGGCCCACAGAACCCCATACACATAGCAGAAGAGAGGGAAGAACGGGTGGAAAAGAGGGGAAGAAGGAAAAAAATACTCATAAATGGCCTCTCAAGTTTCCATTTAATATAGTTACTAGAAAATTGTATGTGTGAGGGCTGGGAATGTGGCTTAGTGGTAGAGTGCTTGCCTAACACGCATGAAGCACTGGGTTCAATTGCTCAATAAACCATAAACAGAAAAAGCCGGAAGTGGCAGTGTGGCTCAAGTGGTAGAGCACTAGCCTTGAGCACAGAGAGGCTCAGGGACGCTGTCCAGGCTCTGAGTTCAAGACCCAGGACCAGAAAAAAAGAGAGAGAAAGAGAAAGAAGAGTAAGAAAAGAAATATACTTGTTATGGATGGATGGTGGATGGATGGATGGATGATGGTGGATGGTGGGTGGAGGTTACCAGGTCTCACTGCACAGTGCTCACTCCTAACACAGACTCACACTGTCTTGCAGCATCAAGCGGCCCACCCTGTCTACCTTAACTGTGGACGTGGCCAACAAGGACATTTCCTGCGTGGACATGAAGCCACTGGTAGGCCCCAGGCCTTCTCTTACCACACATGCAGTGGAGTGTTGGGCCCCAAGGGCTGGCTTCAAGATCTACGTGAAAGTGACCTGGTCCTGGCCGGCCAGCATGAGCCCTAGAGCTGGCTGGCTCCCGTGCCTCGCCATCCACCAGGGGGTGCTATTCCTTACTGGTCACCCCAGAGCTCCTCAGGCTGGCTCAGTGAATGCCACTGCCCAGTGGCTAAAGTGGGCTGGGTAGGTGGGTTAGTGGTAAGAGTGCTTACCTCACATGCATGAAGCCCTGGGTTTGATTCCTCAGCACCACATATACAGAAAAGGCTGGAAGAGGCGCTGTGGCTCAAGCGGTAGAACACCAGCCTTGAGTGACACAGCTAAGGGACAGCACCCAGGCCCTGAGTTCAAGCCCCATGACTGAAGAAAAAATGGCTAAAATGCTAAACCTACCTTGCTTATGTTTTATCATATTTGAATTTTAGAAGGTCAATTTGATGTAGATTTCATCACGAATTCACAAATTAGGTATGAATCTTACTTCCTGCCCAACAATAGATATTTGTTTGTCTTATTATAAAATTTGATCCAAAATAAATAAATAAAATTATTCCCAGTTGGGCGCTGGTGGCTCAGGCCTATAATCCTAGCTATTCAGGAGGCTGAGATCTGAAGATCACAGTTCAAAGCCATCCTGGGCAGGAAAGCCCATAAGACTTTTATCTCCAGTGAACCAGCAGAAAACCAGAAGTGGTGCTGTGGTCCATAGTAGTAGAGTGTTAGCCTTGAGCAAAAAGTCTCAGGGACAGTGCCCAGACCCAGAGTTCAAGTCCCAGGACTGGCAAAAAAAAAAAAAAATGTTGGGCTGGGAATGTAGTTTAGTGGTAGAGTGCTTGCCTAGCATGCATGAAGCCCTGGGTTTGATTTCTCAGCACCACACACACAGAAAGAGCCAGAAGTGGCGCTGTGGCTCATGTGGTAGAGTGCTAGCCTTGAGCAAAAGAAGCTCAGGGACAGTGCCAGGCCCTGAGTTCAAACCCAGGACTGGCAAAAAAAAAAAAAAAAAGTTCCAGACTCCCAGGGTCCCCCCCCCCCTTTTTTTTTGGTTGTCCTGAGACTTGAACTTAGGATCTGGGCACTGTCCCTGAGGTTTTCTTGCTCCAGGCTAGCACTCTACCACTTGAGCCACAGTGCCACTTCTGGCTTTTTGGTGGTTAACCAGAGATAAGAGTTTCATGGACTTCCCTGCGCACAGTGGCTTCTAACCGTGCTCCTGCGATCTCAGCCTCCTGAGTAGCTAGGGTGACAGGTGGGTGCCGCCGGCCTGGGCTCCCAAGATGCTTTGGTGCTGCTCTGAGCAGCACGCCTCCGTCTACAGAGCGCAATGCCTGCAGCTACCAGGCGCATCCCCATGGCTCTGCTCCTCCCTTTCCATCTCTCCATGCTGCCCACCTGTCCCGCCCCCCCCCTTCCTGGGGTCCACAAAGGTTTGAACTGGGTTCTTCCAAGCTACCCTGTTCCCCAAGAAGCTGCTGGTTTGGTGATGTGGTAAGGTGGGGTTCAGGGTTCCCAGCACCGAGCCACGCCCGGCTTCTGCCAGGCCTATGGGAGCACGTTCTCCGTGGGTATCCCTGTGGTGGGCTGTGGAACCATATTGCCTGTCTGTCTGTCTGTCTGTCTGTCTGCAGTCGACACTCATCTCTGTGGGCTGTGACCTGAGGAAGAAGATCATGGTGCAGAAGTAAGTCGTGGAGGCCTGGGGGGGGGGAGTTGGGTGTGAACAGCTTACCACTGGTGACGCATGCTGGACAGGTGACGAATAATGTTAGATTGTCATTCTAGGGGTCCCACGTTTGCCTGATAACCCCTTAAATAGTTTACTGGAGACCCTGGGCTCACCCCAACGCTCAGGGCTGCCTCAGTTTCCCACCTGCGGCTTCTTTCTTCTGTTTGGCCCTGTCTTCCTCCATTTCATCTTCTAGTCCTTTGCTTATTTGTATTAAATTGGTGTGTGTGTATAGCTGTGTGCATTTGAGTGTGCACGTGTGTGCTGGTACTGGGGCTTGATCTCAGGACCTGGTTGCTCAAAGCTAGTGCTCTGCCACTTGAGACACAACTCAATTTCCAGCATTTTGCTGGTTAATTGGAGATAAGCTTCTCATGGACTTTCCTGTCCTGGCTAGCTAGCTTCTTTTTTTTTTTTTTTTTTTTTTTTGGGGTCCAGTCATGGGGCCTGAACTCTGGGCCTGGGCACTGTCCCTCAACTCTTCAGCTCAAGGCTAGCGCTCTACCACTTGAGCCATCAGCGCCACTTCCGGCTTTTTTCTTTTTGCATATGTGGTGCTGAGGAATCGAACCCAGGGCCTCTGGCATGCAAGGCAAGTGCTCTACCACTGAGCAACCTTCCCAGCCCTCCTGGCTAGCTAGCTTCTAACCTTGATCCTCAGATCTCAGGCTGAGTCGCTGTGATTACAGGGGTGAGCCTCTGGTGCCTTGCCAGGAGTTTGAATCCCTTGCTAAAAAAAAAAAAAAAAAAAATCTGAAGGGGGCTGTTTGCTTCCTGTATCCACATACCCCAGAAAGTGCAGGCTGAGAAGGCTGGAACCTGGCCTCTGCAGGCCCCAGTGTGTGTGTGGAGTGGGGGGGGGGGGGGGGGGAGGAAGGACACTGCACGCTCAAGGAAGCTGTGACTCACCGAGGTGAGAATATTTTACACGGGGGGCATTCCAGCCTCCTCAAATTGGGTCTCCCCAACACTCCCACCTCAGTTAGTTGCTGTTACACTTTACCACCTGAAGAGTTCAAAGATACCCCTAGAGGCCAGGTGCTGGTGGCTCACACCTGTCATCCCAGCTACTCAGGAGGCTGAGATCTGAGGATCGCAGTTCAAAGCCAGCCGGGGCAGGAAAATCCATGAGACTCTTACCTCCAATAAACCACCAAAAAACTGGAAGTGGCGCTGTGGCTCACGTGGTAGAATGCTCACCTTGAGCTGAAGAGCTGAGGGACAACGTTCAGAGTTCAAGCCCCGTGATCGACAAAAACAAAAAAGATACCTCACTCCCCGTGTTCATGGAGGCCCCAAGAACCCCCACCCCACCCCCAACCCCGGGCCAAGAGAGGGTACGGGACACCCGCCCACCTCACCACTGTCACCTGGGAGGCACTCAGGGCGGGGACATGGCGGCTGGGGGGGGGGGGAAGGGGGGAGCAGTAGGCCATGAAAAAACGGTGCAAACAAAGCACAATGTTGCAGCTGCCACCCTGGCACCTGGCACCCAGGACATGGAGCTGGAGGCCAAGGATCAGGAAGGCCAACTTGGGCCACACTCCAAAACCCTGTATCAAACACATAAAACTTATCAACTTGGGTTCTTCACTGGAAACAAAAGTATCAAATCAATGGACTGATGGAAGGAGTTATCAGTGCAGGAAGCCAGGCCTGCTGCAAGCACGCAACTAATCAAAATGAAAAGTAGATTCCAGCCAGATGCCCCGTGGCTCACGCCTGTCAGCCTAGCTATTCAACAAGCTCAGATCTGAGGATCGAGGTTCAAAGCCAGCCTGGGCAGGAAAGGCCTTAAGACTCTTATCTCCAATGACCCACCAGAAAACTGGAAGTGGTGCTGTGGCTCAAAGTGGTAGAGCGCTAGCCTTGAGCTGAAGAGCTGAGAGCCAGTGCCGAGGCCCCAAGTTCAAACCTCATAGCCAAAACACAAACCAACAAACAAAATATTCCAGGAGTGAAGGTATAGCTTAAGTGGTAGATCGCCAGCCTTAACCAAAAAAAAAAGTTGAGCAAGAGTATGAGAACCTGAGCTCAAGCCCCAGCACAGGCACAAAATAAATAGGAAGAAAGCTGGGAGCCGGTGGCTCACACTTGTAATCCTAGCTACTCAGGAGGCTGAGATCTGAAGATCACGGTTCAAAGCCAGCCTGGGCCTGGACGCTGTCCCTCAGCTCTTTAGCTCAAGGCCAGCGCTCTACCACTTGAGCCACAGAGCCATTTCCGGTTTTCTAGTGGTTTATTGGAGATAGGAGTCTCATGGATTTTCCCGCCCGGGCTGGCTTTGAACCGAGATCCTCAGATCTCAGCCTCCTGAGTAGCTAGGATTACAGGCGTGAGCCACCAGCGCCCAGCTCTGTGAGACTCTTATCTCCAATAAACCACCAGAACACCAGAAGTGGCGCTGTGGGTCAAGCAGTAGAGTGCCTTGAGCTGAAGAGCTCAGGGACAGCATCCAGGCCCATTTAAAAAAAAAAAGGAAGACTGGGAATCCTGTACTGGCAGTGTATAGAGCTAGAACCCCCCTCCCCTCCCCTCCCCTCCCCTCCCCTCCCCTCCCCTCCCCTCCCCTCCCCTCTGTGTTCTCTCCCCTTCCCTCCCAAAGCAGCTGGGCGGCCCGGGGTCCCCACCCTCCTCCCCTCCAGCTCCACATGTCCATTCCTCACGGGGCCAGGCCGCTCCTCACTCTTCTTTCTTTCAGCAAAATCTCTGCCTGCTCCAAGGGCATCCTAAACGCAGTGGAACTGCAGAAGAACTACACCTACGTCGTGGAAAAGTGAGCCGGCGCTCTCCCCCAGGCCCCCTCCCTCCCACCGGCCTCCGCCCCAGCCCAGTGCTCCCATTTGCCCCGGGAGGATGTGAGGGGGTAGGATGGCAGGACGGCTGTGCTCACCGAGCATCTGCCCTGAGTGGGGATGAGGTAGGGATGGGCTCTGCGGTGCATGCCTGTGGTCCCAGCCACCGGGAGGTGCAGGCAGGAAGATCTGGAGTTCTGGGGCAGCCTGGCATGTGCAGCACAGGGAAGCCCCTGCCACCCCAGCCCCCCGCCTTGTGCCTAGTCTGGAGGAGGGTCTACATTGACCTAGCCTGCTGCTGCTGCTGCTGCAGGTGCAGGCTGTGTGTGTGTGTGTGTGTGTGTGTGTGTGTGTGTGTGTGTCCTGGCCTTGAACTCAGGGCCTGGGTGCTGTCCCTGGACTTTTTCACTCAAGGCTAGCACTCTACCACTTAGGCCACAGCTCCACTTCTGGCTTTTTCTGGTGGTTGATTCATTTGATATTATGCGTCTCACAGACTTTCCTGTGTGGGCTGGCTTCAAACAGATCCTCAGATCTCAGCCTCCTCAGTAGCTAGGATGACAGCCATCAGCACCTGGCTATATATGTGTTTGTGAGTTTGATTATTTTTTTGTGGTATTGGGGTTTGAACTCAGCACCTCACCTCTGCCAGGCACAGGTTCTGCTGCGTGGGCCATGCCCTCAGCTATGTAAGTGTTTTGTGTTTGTTTGCTTCTTTGAGTGAGAATAACATTGAAATCCATGAGCCTGGTGCTGGTGGCTCACACCTGTCATCCTAGCTACTCAGGAGGCTGAGATCTGAGGATCGCGGTTCAATGCCAACCCGGGCAGGAAAAGTCCGTGAGACTCTTATCACCAATAAACCACCAGAAAACCAGAAGCAGCGCTGTGGCTCAAATGGTAGAGCACTAGCCTTGAACTGAAGAGCTCAGGGACGGCACCCAGACCCAGTCCAAATCCACGGACTCTGAGTTAAGCCAGTTTCCCACCATACTGTGAGTGGGCATGTCCCATCAGTTGCTGGCCAGAATAGAACGAACACTGGCCTGCCCTCTCCTGCCCAGGGTGCCCTGGGCTCTGCTGGGCCTGTGCAGTTGAAGCCATTCCCATCTCTTGTCTGTCTGTCCTTACATCTACAGTCATCCCTTAGTATCCTAGAGGAATTCATTCCAGGGTTCGTGGTTCCAGGTCCCTCACCAGACAGAAAAACTGCGGGTTGCGCGGGTCCCTCAGACATGCCGGCAGGGTGGTGTCCAGCCGCAGGCCTGATAAGTCGGTGCATGTCCCCGGATGTGTGCAGACCGGGCCCCAGGACTCAGACCACATTCTGCCTCCCTGCAGAGTGCTGGTGCATCACAGCTGCTCACCACAGCTACGCCCTGCGCGTCCCCGCCTGACCCACAGCAGGTCTCGAGGAGGGAGCCTGGGGATGGTGGTTAGTGAAGAAAAAAAGCCAGGAGCTGGTGGCTCACACCGGTAATCCCAGCTCCTCAGGAGGCTGAGATCTGAAGATCCCAGTTCAAAACCAGCCCAAGCAAGAAAGTCTGTGAGGCTCTCAATTCCAATTAACCATCCAAAAGAAAAAAAAAGAAAAGAAAAGAAGTGGCGCTGTGGCTCACGTGGTAGAGTGCTAGCCTTGAGTGGAAAAGCTCAGGGACAGCGCCCTGAGTTCCAACCCCAGGACTGGCACCAAAAATAAAACACTTCACAGGCTGGGCACTGGTGGCTCACGCCTGTAATCCTACTCAGGAATAGCTACTCAGGAAACTGAGATCTGAGGTTCACAGCTGCAAACCAGCCTGGGCAGAAAAGTCTGTAAGACACCAATAAATTTATCAGAAAAAGCTGGATTGGTGCTGTGGCTCAGGTGGTAGAATGCTAGTCTTGAACAATGAGAGGCTCAGAGCCAGTGCCCAGGCCCTGAGTTCAAGCCCCAGGATCAACAAACAACAACAACAATAATAATAAAAGCTGGGCACTGGTGGCTCACACCTGTAATCCTAGCTACTCAGGAGGCTGAGATCTAAGGATTGCAGTTCAAAGCCAGCCTGGGCAGGAAAGTCTGTGAAACTCTTATCCCCAATAACCACCAGAAAACTGGAAGTGGTGCTGTGGCTCAAGTGGTAGAGCACTCACCTTGAGCTGAAGAGCTCAAGGACAGCGCTCAGGCCCAGAGTTGAAGCCCCACAACTGACAAAAATAAAAACACAGAAACATCTAAAGCACATTGGAGCAAATGCCCAGGTACCATGGTCTAGCCAGCCAGACCCCACAAAATGGTCCAGCAGACCCAGTTCTCACTACCCCTCCCCCAGGGCCACCTCCCCTTGAGCGACATGACCCCTGGTGGCCGGGAGAGCTGGGGTGCTGTGGGTGGACACTGGGGCGGGGAGGTGGGGTGCACCTCTCCCAACACATCCCTGCTCTGTCTTCCCAAGGGAGTCCTATGACCCCAACTTCCTGGGTCACAAGGCCACCAACGACCTGTTCGTGACTTACCCGTATAATGAGCTGGGCTGTCCCCGCCTTGTCTACTTCAACGCCCCATGGAAGCCGGTGGTGGAACTGTGAGGCCCCCTGCCTTGGGCCCTGTACCCCCCCCCCCCCAGCCTCCCTCCTGACCCCCATGCACATGGCCCCTCCCGCCCTCCCCCCCAGCTTCGCCCGAGGCCCGGCGTGGGCAGGGCTGGTGTGGGGCATTTCCCTGTCCATGGTCTCCTGGGTGCTTTCCTCTGCTCAGATGAAGGGGGGGGGGCAGTCCTCCAAGGTTGGGGAACCTTTCTGATCCCATTTTTCCTTTAGGACACTTCAGTGCCGGTCCCCAAATACAGCCACCTATAGATGCTTAGAGCTGTGACGTCAGGACTTAGAGGCTCTCTTCTCCCCAGCCCCCACGCCCCCAGGCGTGATGCTCACATGAACCTAGGTGGCTGGCAGGTTCTGCAGGACGAATAGGAGTGTGTGTGTCAGGCAGGCTTGGTGGTGAGAGGAAGTGTAAACACAAGACACCTACAGCCAGGCATGGCGACACCCGCCTGTCACCCAGCCTCAGGAAGCCGGCTTGCCTTCAAGCAACCAGTCCCCCCATACACACACAGCACACGTGTACATGCACACCACTGCAGTCCCCACACAGCAGGGCAAGGGAGAGGGGGCATGGAACCCCAGGTGCGGTCTGTGGCGACCTCTGCCACCTGACTCTCCCCAAGCCCCCCGGCTCCCGCACCCAGACGCCCCTGCCCCTTCCGTGCAATGGTGGTGTTGAGTGGCAGCCAAGGACCTGCCTCTTCCCAGGCAGCACTGGGGGTTATTCAGGAAATAGTGACGGCAAAGCAGATGCTGAGCCAGCACCGGTGGCTCACGCCTGTTATCCTAGCTAACTCAGGAGGCTGAGATCTCAGGATGGCCGTTCAAAGCCAGCCCGGGCAGGAAAGTCTGTGAGATTCTTGTTTCCCATGAACCACCAGACAAACAGAAGCAGGGCTAGCCTTGGGTTGAGCATTACCACTCTGAGCCACAGCGCCACTTACGATAGAGTTCAAGGACAGTGCTGAAGCCCCGAGTTCAAACCCCGGACCAACCAAACCAAACCAAAACAGATGCTGCAGTCTTTTTTTTTTTCTCTCTCTGTCATGGGGCCTGAACTCTGGGCCTGGGCACTGTCCCTCAGCTCTTCAGCTCAAGGCTAGCGCTCTACCACTTGAGCCACAGCGCCACTTCCAGCTTTTTTTCTTTTTTGCTTATGTGGTGCTGAGGAATCGAACCCAGGGCCTCATGCATGCAAGGCAAGCGCTCTACCACCGAGCCACCTTCCCAGCCTGGGTCTCAGGTTCTTGCTTGAGGCCAGCCTCCTTCCACCCTTCTACCTAGCTCTGTCCCCTGAGTAGCTGAGCTTACAGACACAGGCCACCCTCCCTAACTTATTGTTTGAGGTAGGGTCTTTATAACTCTTTGCCCAGGCTGGCTTCAAATGGCAGTCTCCCTCACCTGGCCAATGGAGCAGCCTCGCCCGTTGGGTGTCCCTGTCACACTGGGTGTCCCCTGGGTGGTCTCCCCTGCGTGGGGGGGTGGCACCCCGCAGGCTGGGCACCCAGGGCCTCCTTGCCGCACGGCAGGTGGCAGGGAGACGAGCTGCAGGAGGTGGTGACGGCGGAGTACGTGCTCCTGGAGGTGAACGGGCTCTTCACCTACTCCTACTCGCTGACGGCAGGCACCGCCCTGTGCCACACGCAGCCGCAGAACTGGACCACCATCAAGCAGGACTCCACCACCTGGAACCGAGAGGTGAGAGGCCCCGGGGCCCCAACTTGGGGAAAGAGGAGAGATCTTGGGTGCTGTCCCTGAGCTGCTTTTTTTTTTTTTTTTTTTTTTTCTGTTGGTTATGGGGCTTGAACTCTGGGCCTGGGCGCTGTCCCTCAGCTCTTCAGCTCAAGGCGAGCGCTCTACCACTTGAGCTACAGCGCCATTTCTGGTTTTCTGGTGGTTTATTGGAGATAAGGGTCTCGTGGACTTTCCTGCCCAGGCTGGCTTTGAACTGCGATCCTCAGATCTCAGCCTCCTGAGTAGCTAGAGTGACAGGTGGGAGCCAACTGGAGCGGGGCTCTATCTTGGCTTTTTACACAATCACCAGCCACACTGGGTCAGCTCCCTCAGAAAGGGTCCCATGTTCACCAACCCTCCTACTCTGAAATGTCAGCATGGCGACCCTCCTCCACACATGCCCTGGGGGCCTTGGGAGAGAGCAAGGTTCAGCGTCAAGCATGGGCGCACAGGCGATCTGACAAACCTGAGCAAACCTGCCGAGGGCACCCGAGGAGGAGGCCCGATGGAGGCTGGAAAGCCACCCTTGGGTCTCCCCCACACAGGCGGGGGGCTGGCCCAACCCCGCCAGCCCAGGGCCCATCCAGGGGCTGTGTAGCCAGCCAGGCCTGGGCAGGGCCGGACCCAGCTTTGTTCCTCCCCCCAGAACTACGTCAGCTGCTGGGAGCCCAGCGAAAACCCACCTCTGCTGTGGCCTGATGTGCCCTATCAGGTCCTGGGTGGCCCCACCAGCAACGAGATCATTTTCGACCAACGGAACGGCATCTACATCTTCTACCTGTCCATTGTGGACCCCCACTACAGGTGAGCCTCCCATCCGTACCTGGGCTCCCCACCCATCCCCTGCAGCACTCCTACCAGTCCTGGGTAAAGCTGCCTAGCCTAGGCAGTGCTGGAGGGTGACTTTTTGTTTTGTTTTGTTTTGTTTTGTGGGTCATGGGGCTTGAACTTGACCTGGGCGCTGTCCCTGAGCTCTTCAGCTCAAGGAGACCACTCTACCACTTGAGCCACAGCGCCACTTCCAGTTTTCTGAGTGGTTTATGGGAGATAAGAGTCTCAGAGACTTTCCTTCCTAGGCTGGCTTTGAACCCCGATCCTCAGATCTCCGCCTTTTTGGAGTATCTGAGATTACAAAGTCTGACCTGGTCCCTGTTGGCCTTTCGTGCAGCTACTGCCACCTGTACACCACGTTCAGCATCTATGTGTACGGGGCCTACCCGCTGCCCGAGGTGCCGCCCGAGATCACCATCTTCCTGCTGGTGATCGGCATGCTGCTGTGCCTGTGGCTGGCCTACATCATCCCCAAGCTGCCGAACACACAGTGCGGCCTCTCCATCAAAAACTTCTGGAGGTGGCTGGGCACCAAGGTCTGGGCGTTCTGCAGCTGCTCCTGGTTGAGGAGTTTACTGAGGAGGATGTGGGCACGCATGACGCAGGCAGACAGGCCCCCTGAAGCCAGCCCGAGCCCCGCAACGCCTGACCAGGACCCTGTCTCAAAATAAATGCTTCAGTGACCAAGTGGGGACACTGTATGTGTAGTTTTCAGCAATCTCCCATTTTCTCTCTCTTTCGTGGGTCTTGAACTCTGGGCCTGGGCGCTGTCCCCCAGCTCTTCAGCTCAAGGTGGGCATTCTACCACTTGAACCGCAGCGCCACTTCTGGTATTATGGTGGTTCATTAGAGAGAAGAGTCTCATGGACTTTCCTTCCCCGGGCTGGCTTTGAACTGTGATCCTCAGATCTCAGCCTCCTCAGTAGCTAGGATGACAGGCGTGAGCCACTGGCACCCAGCAAGTATGGGGTTATCTGTGATGCTTTCAAAATGGCTCCCCCCAGACACCCCAAATTCCTGCAGAGGTGTGGCTTCCTGGAGAGGCCCTAGAGCTGTGGGAGATGGGGGAACTGCTTTGAGTGGCCTCAGGCCTTCCCACCCCTCTCTGTGCAGCTAAAATTCGCACCATCAGAGTTGGGGTACCCGTCCGGCAGACGCGGGGACCTACCCCTGCCTGGCTGTGGGAATCAGACACGGCGGGGCGAGGCACCCCGACCCGCACCGCCCCTATGCGGCCACCAAGGGGACACGACGGAGTGGAGCGTAACATGCGGTTTAATGCGGGGACAGCTCCCGGGGTCGGCCCGGGCCGCGCGGGGCGGTGCCGGCCGCGGCCCCGGCCTGCTTGGCCTTGCTGCCGGCCTTGCCCTTCTTGGAGGCGGAGGCGGCCTTCTTCTTGCCGGCGCAGGAGCCGGCGGCGCGCGGGGCCGGGGCGGGGGCCGGGGCCGGGGCGGCCGGGGCGGGGGGCGCGGGCCGGGGCGCGGGCGCCGGCGGCGGCGGCGGCTCCTCGTCCAGCGCCTTGAAGTTGAAGAAGTAGTCCACGTGGGACACGGCGTCGAGGATCTCGGGCACGCTGTAGTCGAAGGACAGCAGCTCGTCGGGCAGGTGCAGCGAGCGGATGTCGCTGCTGGAGTCGTCGCCGCCGCCGCCGCTGTCGGGCGCGGGCCCCGCAGGCCCCGGCGCGGGCCCCGCGTGGGGCTGGGCGGCGCTGGCGGGCTCGGCGCGGCCCGGCAGGCAGTCGAACAGCCTCATGGCGTCCTCCAGCAGCACCTGGTCCGGCAGCGCCAGGGCCCGGGCCGCCTCGGGGGCCGCGGCCTCGCCGCCGGCTGCCAGCGCCGCGGCCGCCTCCTCGGCCTGCGCCCCCGCGGCCTCGCCGGGCGCTGGCGGGCCCGGCCCGGCGCGGCCCCCGGCCTGGTGGGGCTCCTTGGCGGGCGCGGGCGCGGGGTCCGTGGGCTCCGGGGACCACGGGGCTGGCTGGGGCCCCGGGGCGTGGCCGGCGCCCTTGGCGGCGCCGTAGGGCGCGGGCGGCGGCGCCCCCTCGGCCGGCGGGGCCGGGCCCGGCTTCCCCTCCTTCGGGGCTGGCAGCGGTGCCAGGCCCTCCTTGAGGAGCTCCACAAAGCCAGGGGTCCCCCCGTCGCCCACAAAGCCCAGGGCCCCCGGCCCCTCCGGGGGGAAGTAGGGCAGGACGTACTGCAGCCCCCCGGGCCCCGGCTGGTAGTGGGGGTCCGGCGGGGGTGGGCCTGGAGTCTTGAGGTAAGATTGGGGCTCCAGTAGGTAGCCATTAGGCACGGCGGGACCCCCAGCCACTGCCAACCGGTACAGGGGCGCTTGGCCAAAATCGGGGGTGGCCCACTCGATCCGGTAGATGCGGGGGTCGAAGAAACAGCCGCAGGGCGCCATCTGGAAGCCTGTGGGGGTGGCGGGGAGGGCTGCTGAGCCCCAATGTCCTCAGCACCCCGGCCTGTGCACCTGGGCTCCCATGGCCACTCTGGGGCCAGGCCTTGTCTTTGGGGTGCCTTTGGGGAGACCGGCTATCTCTGCAAGGCACTTGGGGGAACAGTAGCCCTGAGCCTTGCCCTCAGGGACGGGGCCCTAGGGCCCCCAGCCCAGGCAGGATGGGGGTGCCGTACCTGCAGGGGGCCCTGGAAACACGTCCTTCTCTGGGTTTGGGGGCTGACACGGCAGGTTGGAAGAAGCTGCAGACAAAGGAGCCAGCAGGTGGGGTGCTGAGCCCCCCAGGCTCGGCCCTGCATGACTCCCCCGCCTGCCACACCCCTTCTTACCCACAGCAGGCAGAGGCTCAGGCTGGGCCCCCAGCGCCTCTGTGCTGCTCAGGCCCCGGGAGCTGAAGCCCTCCTGAGGAGCAGCAGGAGGGTAGAAGGGTTTGGGGCGCTGCATGGGGGGCAGCGCTGGCCCCCGCAGGCCTGGGGGCGGCAGGTGGGAGCAGAGACGGCCCACCTAGAGACCGGGCAGAGTCCTGCTGGGTTCTGTTTCCCCGTTGCTCTGGGCAGCGGGTTCCAGAGCTGGGCCAGCCGCTCGTGGGGTTCCGGGGTGGGGGGTGGGCAGGAGACCAAGGGGGCCAGGGCCAGCAGGGTGTTCCAACAGCTCACAGGCTGCCACCTCCAGGGAGGGCACTGGGCTCCACAGCCCCACCACCCCAGTCCCCACAGCCCTGGGGGTGTCCCGGGGTGACAGGGAGGGTGGGCTGTGGTGACCAGTGAGTCACACTTGCTCCAGAAGGATCCCAGAGGGCCCAGGAGTTGAAGGCGTCACAGTGAGACCACAAGAAAGGCCACAATTAAAAGAATAGAATTTATTGTCCCCTGCGTGGTCCGTGGAGGCGCGGGCGGCTATTTGTAGGCGTTGGCCTTGTGCTTCGGCAAGAAGACGAAGTTGGGCGGCACGGGGCCCAGCAGCATCTCGCTGTGGGAGAGCACGCAGGGGTCAGGCTGGGACTCCACGCCCCGCCCCGCCCTGTCCCTTCCAGTCCTGTCCCCCCCCCCCCCCCCCCCCCCCCCCCGTCGGGTCCATACCTGATGCGGATCCAGTCGGCCGCCTGCTGGCTGGCCATGAGGGTCTCCAGGTAATCACGGCCCATATAGTAGGGTGGCCGCTCGTTGATCTTTTGGGGGAGCCGCTCCAGCAGGCCCACGGGCACATACCTGCGAGGGACTGTGTGAGGCTGCCGCCACCCACGTCCACCCCCGCTGCCCGCCACCCGTTGACCTGGCCCATGCCCCACCTGCACAGGAAGGACAGCCACTCGAGCAGGAAGCGGCGTGTCTTCTCCACGCCCTGCGTGTCTGAGCCCCAGTGCTCCAGGCCGTAGTGTGTGAAGTCCCGCAGGATGTCCAGGCGCTCAGACGACGAGATGTCCCAGTGCCGCTGCTCCTTGATCTCCGTGAACAGCCAGGGCTTCAGCAGGGCGCCACTGTGGGACAGGGGGCGGCTGGGACCGAGTGCCACGCCACCAGGCTGGGGCGGAGGCGCGGGGCCCCCTCAAAGCAGAGAGACATCTTTTGGTCTGGGGTTTGTTGAGACCCCGTCGTGGTATGCCACAAGGCAGAACTCACGATCCTCAGCCTTGGTCACATCTGGGGCCAGGGCATGAAGCCAAGGTGCCAACCACCTCCCTCCCCCTCCCCGGGGCCCTGAGCTCAGGCCACCCGGCTCACCGGGCGATCATGATCCCCGCAACGCCAGTCTCCATGGCGCGGTTGGCATCCTCGTAGGACAAGATGTCACCATTTCCTGAAGGGACAGAGATGGGGTCACAGGAATGGCAGGCACGGGGCCCAGCTTTGTGAACATCCCTGGAGCGACAAAGCGGGGGCTTCAGGGGACACTTACCAAACAGGGGCATGGGGCTGGCCACCTTGGCGCACTGCTCGATGTACTGCCAGTCGGCCAGCTTGGTGTAGCGCTGCTCCCGCGAGCGGCCATGGAGCTGGGGGTGAAGCGGTGCGGCGGGGACGGAAGCAAAGACAGAGGCGCAGAGAGAGGGGGGCCAGGAGGGACGGGCTGAGAGGGGACAGGCAGGAGGGAGGGCGGGGAGGGAGGGCGGGGACAGGCGGGGAGCAGTGGCAGGAGAGATGCTGTTAGGAAGGGCGGCCGGACACCCCCTCCCGCGCCCATGGGCCCGGCGGCCGCACCCCAAGCCCCACCGTGACCAGCGAGACGCCCCAGTCCCGCATCTCGGGCAGCAGCGAGTGCGCCAGGCTCACGCGCTCCTGGACGCCGGTGCGGATCTTCACGGTGAGCGGCACGTCTAGCACCTGCGGGACACAGGGGTGCGTGGCAGAGCTGGTGGGGGTGGGGGCGGGGAGAGGGGCGAGGGCGGCGTGGCTACCTGGTTCATGCCTCGGACAATCTGCTGGAACTTGGCCGAGCGGTTCATGAGCGCGCACCCGCCACCCTGGGGAGACAGAGCGTGGTGGGCCCCCCACAATCTCACACACACCCCCAACACCAGCGGGATGGGAAACTGAGTCTTTGCTACCTTCTTGTACACAAGGTCAATGGGGCAGCCCACGTTGATGTCCACGAAGTCCACGTCCACGGTGCGGCTCAGGAGCTCGGCGCATTTGGTCATGGTGTCGGGGAAGGCGCCCTCCACCTGCGGCAGGGGCACTAGGTGGGCATGGTGACCGCAGGCCCACCCTCACAGCCCACGAGGGAGACAGACAGACAAGATGCAGGGGGCCCCGCTCTCGGGATGGTTGCTGACCTGCACCCCAAAGATGTCCTCGCACGCGTGGCGCTTGAGCAGGGCCCACTCGGACATCTGGCCCTGCAGCAGGTTAGTGCACACAGCCATCTCCCCGCACGTCACGTCGGCCCCGAAGCGCTTGCACACACGCCGGAAGGGCAGGTTCCCACACTGGGCGGGACAGGACATGTGGGCTCCAAGGCTGCCCGGGGCCCGGGCCCCACCCCCACCCGCAGCCGGGTCCTACCGTGGTGAGTGGAGCCAGGTACAGCTTGCCGCTGATGTTGAGCTGCAGGAGAAGGAAAGCGTGAGGCCCAGCCGAGCCCCCCAGGGCTTCCCCGCCCCGGCCCTGCCTTCAGCTGTGCTAAGCCAACCCCTCATCACGATCCCCTACACAGCAGAGCTTCTGTTTAAGCATCAAAACACCAATCCCAATGCCCCTAGCTGGTCAGTCAGGGAAGCCGGAGAGGTGAACCCCACAGAGAGCCTATACCTGCTTCTTCTCACAGGGACGCAGTCGGATGATATCCTCGTCCGTCAAGGGCCCACAGGTCCGCTCCGGGCTGCTGGGGGGGGTGCCAGCCCCCAGCCCCGCAGGGTCTGGCTGAGTGTCACAGCTGTTGTTCTCTGGGGCGCTGGTGGCCGAGGTGATGGGGGGGGCAGGGGCAGGAGGGGGTTCCTGGCTGAGCTGCAGCAAGGCCTGCTCAGCACGCTCAAAGCTGACCTTGCGCTTGCGCAGCTGCTGCTGCAGGGCCTTGTCCAGGCCATTGCGCACGCGCTGGGCGTACACGGTGCATGCCACGCCCTCCTCACGCACCAGGTTCTGGCCCTCAGGCCCCAGGTGCGCACCTGCAAAGCGACAGGTCACGCCGTAGGGGCAGCGGCCAAAGGTCTCAAAGAGCACACAGCGGGGACCCAGGTCGGCTGGCTTGGTCTCCAGGTAGCGGGCCACGTCATGCAGGAAGCGACAGCGGTCACCATAAGAGCAGTGAGCAGCTGGGTCCTGGGGGGTGAGGGGGGGAAGGAGACACATAAGGGAGCTAAGTGGAAAGTCCACACCCCTTTCCCAACCACGTGTCCCGAGAGAGCTACTCAGTGACCTCACTGTGCCCTCAAAGAGGGGACGACAGCAATATGGGTGTCCTTGGTGATAAACCTGTCAAAAGTGCATTTAAGGGTTGGGAGAGTATGGCTCAGTGCTTGAGCGCCTAGGCTCACAGGACCAGCAACAAAACCAAAACCAAAACAAAAGACATTTTGGCCTGAAGCAGAGGATCACTTTTTTTTTTTCTTTTTGGATCCGGTCTAGGGCCTGAACTCTGGGCCTGGGCGCTGTCCCTCAGCTCTTCAGCTCAAGGCTAGCGCTCTACCACTTGAGCCACAGCGCCACTTCCGGTTTTTTTCTTTTTGCTTATGTGGTGCAGAAGAATCGAACCCAGGGCCTCAGGCATGCAAGGCAAGCGCTCTACCACTGAGCCACCTTCCCAGCTCCCTGAGGCTCACTGTTGTATCCCCAGCTACCCACACACAGGAACCGGGAGGAGATGCGAGGAGGACAGCCCAGGCAAAAGGTGAACAAGACTCCATCTCAACCAATAAGCTTGGTGTGGCTGTACATGCCTGACATCCCAGCTATGTGAAAATGTAAATAGGGAGATTACAGTCCAGGCTGGCTTGGGCAAAAAAAATGAGATTAAAAACAAAACAAAAAGGGCTGGGAATGTGGCTAATTAATGGTAGAGTGCTTGCCTAGCATGCACAAAGTCTTGTATTTGACTTCTCAGCACCACATAAACAAAAAAAGCTGGAAATAATGCTGTGGGTCAAGTTATAGAGTGCTAGCCTTAAGCAGAAAAAGCCCAGGCCCTGAGTTCAAGTCCTAGGACTGGCAAAAATAAATAAAACATAACAAAAAGGGCTAAAGCATGGTTGAAGCGTTAGTGTGTTTGTGTAGCAAACTCAAGGCGCTGCTCTAAAATCCTAGAAAGTCTAAAAAATAAAAATAAAAAAGCACTTAAGGGTTGGGAATGTGGCTTAGTGGTAGAGTGCTTGCCTAGCACGCCTGAAGCCCTGGGTTTGATTTCTCAGTCCCAGATAAACAGAGAAAGCCAGAAGTGGTGCAGTGGCTCATGGGGTAGAGTGCTAGCCTTGAGCAAAAAGAACTCAGGGGAGGACAGTGCCCAGGCCCTGAGCACCTAACATACCTACTCCCTGCCCCCGCCACACCCAGCATCCTAGCAATGTGTACAGTGCTGTATGGGGAACTTGTCTTCACTGTCATGATCTCTGAGACTCAGCAGCACATGAGCACTGCTCCCCAGCATAACATCATTGAAGCTGGGTGGGCTGGCACATGCCGCTAATCCCAGTTCTGGGGAAACTAAGGCAGGAGGACCACAAGTTCCAGGCCAGCCTGGGTTACCCAGAGAAACTCTGTCTGGAAAACAAACAAAAACTCCCACAAAACCCACACTATCATACTGCATTTTACCCTTGTCTCTATAGCCTGGAGTCCAGCTATTGCAGGCTGAACACCCACAAGCCACAGGGTATGGGTACTTGTTGTTTAACAGAGAAAGTCACAAAGATGGAGTGCAGACAGAGAGCCAGGCTGCAGGTGCCCTGCGCTGTGCCACAGGTCAATGCTCACCTGGATGAGGGCTGGGCAGAATCGGTCTTTGTCGTACTGAGTGGGCTTCACGTGGGGCCGGGCCTTGTTCTGGCCCCGGGCTCTCTTCTGGGACTCGGCGGTGGACTCCGCCTGCCCATCCTCCAGTCGGATCTTCTTGGCCTCTGGCTCTGCCAGGTCGCTGCCGTCCTCATGGTCTCCTGACTCCTTCTCCTGCCCTTTGGCTTCCAGATATCCGTGGAACTCTTCCTTGGTGGTCCGGTATCTGCCAGCAGAGAGTGAACAGGAGGATGGAGGGGGTTTGTTCAGGGAGACCTTCTTCAGAGCACCAGAGAAAGGAGACTGGGGACCGCTGGCTCTGCTCTGCTCGGCCCGAGAACACTAGAAAGCCAGGGGGGAAGTTCTGTTTCGTCCCTGGACCGCTCTTTCTCCCCTCACTCCTGCCTACGAGAGTTAACAGACATTGGCGAGCCCCGCCCGCGAGAGGGCAGGGAGAACTACAAAGCCCAACACGCCCCGCGCGGCACACGCTGAAAACGCCGCTGCCCGCCAGTAGGTACAACGGAAGGTGCGCATGCGCGCGGCCGGTCCCGCGCAGGGACTACGGTGTCCGGCATACCCCACGCGCGTCGCCCCACACAGCGCCCCCGCCCCCCGGCGTGCGCGCGACCATCCCTCGTGCGTGTGACAGCCGCCAACGTGCACCGCCTCCGCGGCGGCCGCGGGGCGCCCCGCGGGCCAGGGCACGGCGGGGCCTGAGGGGCCGCGGGCGGCGCCGCGCGGGCCGCGGCCACACCTCCCGGCATGCCCCACGGCAGCCGCGCTACGGAGGCCGGGGAGCCCACGCCAGGCCCCCCACCCCACCCCCACCCCCTGCTTGCGCGGGCGACTCACTGAGCTTTAATGGGCGCCACTCCCCGTTCCGACGCGCTGACTCCCGAATCGCCGTCGCCACCGCTGTCTGTCAGGGCCTCCGCCGCTCCCTCCGCCATCGAAGCGCTTCACGCCGGCTCTGTAGTGTGGCAGCAAGGCCTTCCGGGTCGCGTGTGGAGTCCCAGGCTGTACGGAAGGAGTGCGCATGCCCAAATTGCTCCAATGGACGATACGGGAGGGCGTGACGTCAGTAGGCGGGGACTGAGGGGGCGGGGCATCGTGTTGTATTTAAGCTCGAGAGGGACCGGAAGTGCCCTAGCATCCTCTGGGGGCTCGCCAACCAGTGACCTGTGAGCTGTAACTGTCCCATAAAAATGTTCTGTCTTTCCTGCTGGGAGGTCTTAAAAAGCGTAAATCCCGCGGTGGGGGAGCCCTGGGGGTCCCTGTGGTTCACTGGAACCTGTTCTCCATTTTATAGTAGCTGCAAGGTTCCAGAGGCAAAGTCATGCTGGGATGGGAACTCTGCTGAGGGGATCCGCACACATTGTGGACACGTGTTGAAACTTCCCATGGCGCCCCATAAACATCCACAGTCATAACAGGTTAGCAGAAGATTTTTTTTTAATGTTTCAGGAGAGGGTGATGCTACCCTGATTTGATCACCCCATGCTATGTACACATGTCAGATTCTCATACTGTACTCCATAAACCCATACAATTGAAATAATTACTGCCAGGCATGGTGGTGCATGCCTGTAATCCCAGCAAGTGGAACGTGAGTTCCAGGCTAGTGTGGACTACAGAGCATTACCCTGTCCCATCCACCCACCCACCCCCCCAAAAAAATTATTTCTTAAAAATGTAAATTCCAAGATGGTTACCAGTGGCTCACACCTGTAATCCTAGCTCAAGTGTGAGAGTGCTAGCCTTGGGCAAAAGAAGCTTAGGGAATGGTGCTCAGGCCCTAGAGTTCAAGCCCATGGAACTAGCAAAAAAAGTAAATTCCAGCCAGGCACTGGTGGATCACACCTGTAATCCTAGCTATTCAGGAACCTAAGATTTGAGGATCATAGTTTGAAGCCAGCCAAGGCAAGAAACTTTGAGACTTATCTTCAAGGAACCACCAAAAAGCTGAAAGTGGACCTGTGCCTCAAGTATCAGGGTACAAGCCTTGAGCAAAAAAGCTAAGGCCTGAGTTCAAACCTCCAGGCCAGCGCACCCTCCCTCCCCTCCCCTCCCCCCCCCCAGCCACGGATAGAACCTATGTATAACATATTTATGATAAGGGAGCAAAACTGCCCCACAAGGACAGGGACAGCAGCATCCCCTCCAAGGACAGACCACGCCCAAATGATGACAACTATCTAGGAAGGTCGGCTGCACCCTGGAATCCAGGAAGAATCTGCTTTTGGGAAACAGCCTGCTCCCCTCGATTGACAACAGTGATAACAAATTCTCCAGAAACCCTCACAGAACCAGAACTGAGATAGTGATCAAGCAGGCAACAGAGGGCCTGCACTGTTCAATGTATGCCTCTCTGCCCGGCCCAGTTTATCGCTTAAGCCTAAAGCTCATGTCTGCACCCTAAATGTGGACCAAGTGCTTCCTTTGACTCTTCCTGTGGTGTGTTCAGGTCGTACAATGAATCTCCTTTCTCTGCCCTTCACTGCCTCCAAACTCCCTCCACTCTGGCAATATTGTGATTTGTCTTCAGGGCTTCACACCGGCTGGACAGGCACTCTAAGCCTGAGCCCTGTCCACCCTGAGCCCTGCCCACCATTCAGGTCTTTTGTGTATGTGTGTGTGTGTATGTGTGTGTGTGTGTGTCCCCGCATGCGCACCTGTCCTGGGGGTTAACTCAGGGTTTGGGTGCTATCCCTCATCTTTTTATTTTCCCCCAGGCCTCATGCATGCAAGGCAAGCACTCTTCCACTGAGCCACCTTCCCAGCCCCTCTTCCCCCCACTTCTGGCTTTTTCTGAGTAGTTTATTGGAGGTAACAGTCTCATGGACTTTCCTGCCTGAGACTGGCTTTGAATCACGATCCTCAGATCTCTGCCTCCTGAGTAGCTAGGATGACAGGTATGAGCCACCAGTGTCTGGCTTGTGTTTTAATGTTTGAGAGTATTGGGGTTGGAGCACCTTGGTAATCAGGTGCTCTACTGCTTGAGACATGCTTCCAGCAAAATTTTTTTTGTTGGTCATGGGGCCTGAACTCTCTGGGCGCTGTCCCTCAGCTCTTCAGCTCAAGGCTAGTGCTCTACCACTTGAGCCACAGTGCCACTTCCTGCTTTTTGCTGCTTATGTGGTGCTGAGGAATCAAACCCAGGGCCTCATGTATGCGAGGCAAGCACTCTACCACTGAGCCACCTTCCCAGCCCCATCTAGCAAATCTTGATTCTGGATAATCAGCTGAAAAGGCGGGATCAAGCCACTCCTGAAGTCCGCTGTACTTCTGAAAACATTCCAGATTTGGCCCCCATCTTGACTCTGGAACCCACAGAAGGTACAGAATATTAAAAAAAAATATATGAGCTGGGAAGATGGCTCAGTGATAGAGTGTTTGCCTTGCATGTCTGAGGCCCTGAGTTTGATTCCTCAGCACCACATAAGCAGAAAAAGCTGGAAGTGGCGCAGTGGTTCAAGCACTGGCCTTGACCTGAGAAGTTCAGGAACACCACCCAGGTCCAGAGTTCAAGCCCCATGACCACCAACAACAAAAAAGTCTTGACTGACAAAGTGATATTTGAGTAAACTTGGATCAAGTAATAATCATAAGGAATTCAGAGGGGGAATACTGCAAGTGGCAGGCAGAGCCTGTGCAAAGTCCCTGGGGCAGGATGAGGCTTGGTGTGTGGGAGGAGCCGTAAGAAGCCCAAGGAGGAGAAGCAGAGAGGGAATGGGTCCTATGGGGCAGGGTTTTGTGGGCCAGAGAGAGGACTCAGGCTTTGATCCTGAAGGAGACGAGAGTTTTGAAGAGCTCTGGGCAAAGATGGCAGGTACCGGTCACTGGCACACACACTCTGTGTGTGCCATGGTCTCCGCAATGCTCCATCGTGCTTCCTAGAGCTCTCTGTTCCTGAAGTAAGCTTACTGCACACAGGGGGCTGAGGGGCCTGCAATGAGCCGGATTGAAATTCCAGCATCGTCACCTCTCAGCAGGGACAATCAAACAAACAGACATCTATGTAACTTCTAGGTCCTTCTACGGATCTGATCAAAGTCTCTCCTTTAGAAGGTCTCATTCACAGAGAAGTTGTGACTAAACTTCAACAACTCTCATTACCACAACTCTCATTACCGGAATTATGATGGGTGATACTGTGCTCCATGAGAGACCTCATGTTTTACTCACAGCTCAACCAAGGCCGGGCACCAGTGGCTCACGTCTGTAATCCTAGCTATTCAGAAGGCTGAGATGTACAGATTGAAGTTCAAAGCCAGCCCAAACAGTAGAGTTCATGGGACTCTTATCTCCGATTAAACTACTAAAGAGCCAGAAGTGGAACTATGGCTCAAGTGGTAGAGCACCAACCTTGAGCAACAAACAAACAACAACAACAACAACAACAAAAACCCAGCTGGGCACGAATGGCCCATGCCTGTCATCATAGTTATTCAGGAGGGTTCGAGCTGAGGATCACAGTTCACAGACAGCTGGGACAGAAAAGTTCCTGAGAGACTCTTATCTACAATTAACCACTTAAAACAGGAAGTGGGGCTGGAAGTTTCAGTGGTAGAGTGCTTGCCTCACATGCACGAGGACCTGGGTTCCGTTCCTCACCACCACATAAACAGAAAAAGCCGGAAATGGCACTGCGGTAGGGTGTTCACCTTGAACTGAAGAGCTGAAGGACAGTGCCCAGACCCAGAATTCAGGCCCCAGACCGACCAACCAAACAAAAAACTGGTAGCCGCCCACTGGTGGCTCACGCCTGTAATCCTAGCTACCTAGGAGGCTGAGATCTGAGGATCACGGTTCAAAGCCAGCCCAGGCAAGAAAGTCCATGAGACTCTTATCTCCAATTAATCACCAGAAAACAAGAAGTGGCGCTGTGGCTCAAGTGGTAGAGCGCTCATCTTGAGCTGAAGAGCTGAGGGACAGCGCCCAGAGTCCTAGACCCATGACCAACAAAAACAAAAACTGAAGCGGAGGGCTGGGAAGGTGGCTTACTGGTTGAGTGCTTGCCTAGCACGCATGAAGCCCTGGGTTTGATTCCTCACTACCACATACACAGAAAACACCAGAGGTGGCACTGTGGCTCAAGTGGTAGAGCGCTAGCCTCGAACAAATGAAGCTCAGGGCTCCATGGCCCCCTGCAGGACAGACTCAGAACCGACCATTTGAACCTGGCCTCCAGTGCGTTCCCACGTGCTCCGCCCCTTCCTCCCCGGCTGTGCCAGGCATCAGCCTCCCTGCTGGCTCTCTCCATTTTTCCCTGTGCCTCTGTTTACCTCCAGAGCCCCACGTTCACCCCTTTCCCTTCCTTCCCTCCATGGCTGATGTCCCTTCTGAAGCCCAATCTCCCATCTGCCCTTGCAACAGCATACGGCTCCGGGTGCTGCTGCCCTCCTCTGGGTGCTGTGGCTAGCTGGGCCACGGCCTTGCTTTCCCCACTGGACCGTGAGCTGAGAAAGTGCGAATCCAGTCGGCTTGGCCACAGTGTCCCCAGCACCCCAGCACCTGCATCAGTGACTGCCTCTTATCCTGGCCAGGGAAACCGAGGCAGCCGGAGGGCAAGACCCTGCTGAAGGGTCCCACTTCCACAAAAGCTATGGCAGCAGGTGTCCTAGGAACCGCGAGTGGTTGAGTTATGACCTCGAGTGTGGCCTGGGCCTGGCCTGAGGACCCCAATCACCCTGGGACCACATTGGCCACCCCTGCCTCGCTCTTGGCCCTCCTTTTTTCTGTCTCAGGAAGTCATTCTGTTTTCTTTTTTGCCAGTCCTGGCATTTGAACTCAGGGCCTGGGCACTGTCCCTGAAACTCTTTGTGTTCAAGGCGAGCGCTCTACCACTTGAGCCTCAGCACCACTTCCAGTTTTCTGGTGGTTCATTGGAGATGAAGAGTCTCAGGGACTTTCTTGCCCGGGCTGGCTTTGAACCGTAACCCTCGGATCTTGGCCTCCTGAGTAGCTAGGATTAGAGGCGTGAGCTACCATGCCCAGCTTCATTTTGTTTTCTCTATTTGCCT